TCCTTTGGCTGCTTCATGTAAAATGTAGTTTACATCACAGGGCACCTATGGCTTAGAATCTCTTAACTTTAGAGTTTATGTTGAACAATTTTTTCGTGTTTTTCAGTATAATGAGAAAGTTATTTTTCCCAACCGCATAAGGTTCATGATGAACTTGTTTATATTTTCAATTTTTTTTAAAGAAACAGAAAATATTTCAAGTGCTCCCCCAATGAATTATGATTAATAATTCTGGAGAAAAATCTACATACCAGAGACAACTCAGAAAATGCTGTACAATTGTAGTATAAGGATATATATAGATATATATATGTATGTATTTAAAATATCTACACACGTATTTTAACCTACTTACTATAATTTATAATCACATGAGTCAATGTTCACACTTTAAAAGTAGTAGCAAAAACTATACTTATTCTTTGGTAAATGCATTGAAAAAGTGTTTTGTTAAGTGTGTTACATTTGACAACCTCAATGATTTTATTGAACTCATTGTAATAACTATGAGCCTACTTTAATGCAACATTAAGTATGACCAGTTACATTGAGTTTCTAATTATGACAATAATATTACACTACCTAAAAATGTTAAAATAGGGTTCATTTAAATAATTTCAAATAAACAATATTGAGTTGCATACTAGTTTGTGTAGATACTTCTCTTTGGGTTGTAGCATTTCCATGACTCAGACATCCCAGACATTCAACTTATTTGGACTTCATACCAGTAATTAGAAACTTTTAGTAACAGTGTCAAATTATACATCACAGGTAATGGGGCTTACATTTGTGAAATTTTAAGTTCCTCTTAACTATACTGCAAAGAGAAAAGACTACTAAAATGTGTCTCTGGATGTATGCATGAATATTCCAATGACAGGTTTATAAATTTAGGATGTGATAGTGGGTAGTGGGCAGTGGTGTATGTTTGCTTGTTCTGTTTGGTTTAAGTATAGATATTCTGAATTAGTTTTCAGGTAGAGGGAACAAAATGGCTACAGACATGTAAGACTGAATGTGCCTGATAAAGATACATCCATAAAGCAAGGCCCCAGGGATTAAGATGATTGATAGAGGAAATGAAGGTCCCAGGGTAGTGGATTGATTGAGGAGATACATTACTTTAGAATGAAGCCAGATGTTCACAAAACAAAGCTTATCTACCTTGTACTTTTAACTAGGGATTTTCCTGTTAACATGCCTTGATCAGACATAGGCCACATTTTCCAGTATTCATCACCATTGATACCTACAGGCTACATTCCATCCATATGGGGATATTTTGCTCTTATCGTGTAGGATTTTCCAGAATGAAAAACCAAGTAGAGAAATATTTAAATTTGTTATACTAGATTGCACATAACATCAGGCTCAGTACTGAGTGAGCATAAGGAGGAAGATGGTAGCCGGTGTAATTATACAAAGAACCTTACTCGGGACTTCTTTTAGTAGTCTTTACATTTTATATATACTAATGGTTTCCTTTGGGACAAATTTCCCAAGATCTTTAAAAAAATGGAGGTATTATTTCTGCGTAGGAAACTTTTACATAGACTTCTTAATAAATCAAAGTCTGATTTATTAAATTCTTAAAGGCCTTGGTGCAGAGGAAGAAGTTGCAAGTGCTTGTATTTGTGAATTGAGCTTGGTTTTACTAACACATTTTATTTCCACAATCAAATGTTCTCTCCAGCAGGATTATTCCCATAAAACACATTTCTCAAAGACTTTTCTGCCCCTTTCAACTGGATCATTAAAAAGCCAACAACCCAAACTGCTTGGTGATTTTAAATGATAAACTTTTATTCTGAATATACTGTTTTTGCACAAGATTTAACACAACATTTTCTGGGATTATAAATATTTTTATAACAGTATTATACAAATTTTTACAAAATGTTGTAATCAGGCTAGTTAATGTCCACAAAAGGGTCAAGAGAACAATAATAAAGGGGAAGAAAGAGCTCTGGTTCACAAAAGCCACAAGGCTTTTTGCACAGATGAACGTTGAGTATTTATTTCATCATAAGTAATCCTAGAAGCAAGATCTAACAATTGCACAGCGTAACAGAAAGGATGGCATAGCCAGGTCACACTATAAACTCAACTGGCATCTATGTAAGACAGTAGTATCCCATGCGTCTCCGTGGAAATTTCTTTGAGATTATTTCTTTTATGAACTAAAAAGAAGATCGGTGACCCTACAGGCAAGGGCTATCCAATTCTTCAAAATTCTGAATTTTTGTTTTTCACGCCCAATACTGGTTTTTCTTAGTGACTTGGTCTTTACAATAAATGTTCACTAAATAATAACATTCTGCTATGGCAAATAATGCAAGTTCTAGATAGTATAACATGTGGAATTTGCGAAGTGTGAAAAAAGTCACAAATATCTTTGTCTTGCTAGTTTCAACTGCATTCTGTTAGATATTTGAATCTCCACTAACAAGATCAATGAAACAGCTTCAAAGGTTTAAACTAAGATGTGGAATTTAAACTTTGGTGAAGATAGGACAAATATTTAAATGAGACGTGAAAGACAAGAGAGCATCAAATAAGCAAGTAACACTTGGGTTGCAAAGGTCACTTAAAAGGGATACTGCCTATTTGAACCCCATAAGGCCAGTTTTAAAGTTCATAAAAGGAATATCATATATAGGAAAACTTACAAATGGCAGCAACACTGTTTTTTTTAATTATTTCCTCAAGGTAAGCATTAATGCTTTAAGCTTTAGAAACATGAAATAAAGATCATACTAAAATCTTATAGGCCCAGGACCTAAAAATCTCTTCAATCAAACTTGCTAACTATGTCATGTTAAAAACCTGTTACAAATATGGACCACGACTGGTGTTTGGCAGTAATGCTGGTTGTTCAAATGAAGAAAAGATGAGGCCATTTATGAAAAATTCGTTCTTGCTACTCAAAACCAGTGTAAGATTTATTTTGACTCAATGTGACAAACTGCATTAAGCCACATGAGTATAGCAAAAATTAAATAAGTAAAAACAGGTAAAAGCTTTCCAATTGATCTTTTGCACTATCCAGTCTTTGGAAATCAATGTTAATATAATTTAATGTCTTGGTAACACAATTCACAGAACAATAGTAAATTTAACAATTTGATTGGATGACTGTTGTTCTGCTTTAAAACAATATGCTAAAAGTATGAAGATTGGTATCCATCACACAATTTCTACTTGGAGAGCATGGTTTATCAGTTTGTCACCCCATGTGTGGCTGTTGTAAAATACAACTAAAATCAAACAGGGCTTTGCCAAGAGATGCCAAGTTTCACTGTGATAAACACAACAATAATGTAGTTGATGAAAACATACTATGTAAATAACATCACCCATGAAATAAAATATCTTAAACACAACCTTAAGGTAGTTTGTTGTATGCTAGAAGCAATTTGATTGTTGTATTGTGTATCATTTATATACACACACTATTGGTCATACATTTGAAGATCTCCTTTCTAACACTTTTATGATTTAAAATAGAATAGGAAAAAGGTTAACAGTAAATTTTAAATATTTAAACAACATACAACATGATTTTAACATATCATCACTATTTTGCAATCACTTTGGTGTTTTCTAAAATGTCAATACCAGTTATGAATGGACTACAAAATCACAACACATTAGAAATGGTACTGATGTCAACTTTCAGAAGAACAGTTGGCAAAGTGATTTCAGTTTCCCTTTCCCCCAATTTAAATTAAAAAAATTCTTAAATTAAGGAAATGTACAGGATATATTGACAATAGGGAAAATTACAAATATACGCAAGGCTAAAAAACAATAATTATGCCAAAGAACTGATTATATCTTTGATATGTGAGCATGTTAAAGCATGCTGGATAATATAAATAACTTTGATTTGAAAATGATATATAAGAATATTTCCAGCATATACACACACCATTACTTGGCATGTTTGAAAAAAGAAAGAAAATCATTTAACCATAAAAAATATCCGCAACCTTTTAGCTTTTAACATAATTCTTCATTATTCTTACCCTTTCTTCAAATACTGTTTATTCCTGAAAATAAGTTTTCAAAACATAAATAACATTTTCTATCATATTAATCTATAATGAAATACCTGCTTTACTACACTAATCATTTTCACCAATGAGGCTGTATAAAAACAAATTTTTATTATTCACAATCAAGTGTTCATGTGCATACATATAGATTCAAGGTTTCCTGTTTGTTCTGATTGTTGTAAAACCCTCACCCAATTGTATAGAAATGTTGGCCAAATGATCACACCATTTAAAGTAGAGGGACAAAAGCCACAGCAGTTTGTGGATTGTCCATGCTACTGTCAAGATGAACAAAGAGGAAACCAAGGATGAATCTTTATTGAAAACATATATGTACTTTTCAAAAAATAAATGTGTTAGATCTGATTTATGTACTTAAAATATCTGTACATAGGTTTTCCAGGCAAAAGCACAAATCTGTATAAAATCCATTAATTCTCATTTCACCATTAACCTAACCCAGTCATTCAGTATTTATATTGCACAGTATATTCAGAGTAGTTTAACCACATTTTAAAAGATGATTCAAGTGCGTTTACACTGCAAGGTTCAGATTCTTACATGACAATAATGTCACTCAGTTAACTTTTCAATGGACTACACTCTACAGTAAGAGAGAAACAAACCAAAAAGTTAAAATAGCAGCAGCATCATGCACAATACCCTTGGTAACCCAAGTTCAATATTACAAGAAAAACACTTCCCTCCCCCCAACAAGCTTTTCTTAGAGCATTTTTAAATATCTGGCTAGCACTACATAACTGCACTGGGAACAAAAGAAACATTACATCCAAGCATTTAAGGGCTTACATTTATGAGGAAATATGCCACACATTCAGATTTCACCCTCAAGCACCTTAAGTTTAATAATATCTTGGTGATTATTTTCAAACCATCAATTCATTACCTCACTGAAATTTAATGGTCGATTGTGTTTTATTTTTGGCAGAGAAGTCATTCGTTGTAAGGCATTTTATTCATGGCAATTTCGTTTTTCTGTTAAAAATTAGCCATTAATATTATAATAGGATTCTTTTCTCCCTTCTTGCTTTCTCTCTCTATCTCTCTATTCAGGAAAGATGTTCCAGGTAGGGATTACTTTTGAACAGAATAGTTAATGAAGGCAAAAGATAACATTCCTCACCCTAAAGATTTTCTTAGTAGAATTGCAGCAAGTTGAAATTCCAGATCCAAATCAAGACCTTTCTTACGATTCATAACAATTGTATGGGGAGCCCTTGTACATATAATCACCAATGCAACAGCAAACTCCCAACATTTCCAACAGAGCACATATAGAGTTTTGCTTTGATGTTATACATAGATGATGCAGCATTCACACAATTTGGAGGATCTGACATCCTGACATGCAGCCAGTGGGTGCTTATGGATCTGTGCCTTAGAGTTACACCATGGTATAGGTCCAACTAAGGTACTGCTGATTCCACGATTGACCCTAATGTCATCGAGGGCTCATATTTTGTCAGAGTCTGGAGTTGATGCAGATCTGGGGTTTGGGAGGTCACAATAGGAACCATCTGCTGCCAGATACCAGCCAAAGTAGTAGGAACTGGAGTCCAATGAGAGACCACAGGGATGGATTTAACCCAGAAACACCACCACAGTCGGTATAATCTTCCTGTTAGAAAAGAAGGGGGAAGAAAAAAACCTAATGACAAACATTGCGTGAGGCTCCTTTCAGAGGACTCCATATTCTATCCACTTAAAAACTTACCTTAGAAAATTCTTTTGACTAGAATCCAAATAACATTCACCTAGATTTTATTGTTCAGTAATTTGGGTTAAAACCATTTCTTTAGCACCATTTGACAAACTCTTTGACATTTTAGATATAAGTTGATGATTTTGAAATACGAAATAAGAAATGCTAATTTGGGTAATATGCCAATTACTTTCATGGCACTAGAAATCCTATATATTTACAAGCGTAAGAAATACAAATAGTATCTAATATTTATTAATTCCCAGTAATTATATTTTTAGCTCCTAAGGAAAAAAATAAGCAATACAATTAAATTTGTTTCTTATACCCAACATATAGGAGCATATGTAGAACATATGCTGCACCTGGATTTTCATCAAGTATTACAGTGTATTGAAAAATCACATCTTTGAAGAGTTAGCAATGAAAGGATATCCTGCAAACACAGATCCAGAGGAAAAACAAAACAAAACTAAACTAAACTAGAAAGAGAGGGTTGTCTTACTTAGAAATCTATAAAATATTAGCATTAAGTAAATCCGCTTATGTCCCCCAGGGTGCAGAGCTAGCTCAATTGCTTCCCTACTAATCCAGAGCTATTCTATACCTTTTATCCCTAGGTTCCATATTCTCTTATGTTTTCTATATCCTTTCCTGTCTTTTAATGTAATAGGATCTGTTTTGTAAATTTCCTGACTAATCATTCCTAAAAACATCTTTCACAACTTTACTAATCCTAGGTTCATATTCCCAGAATCAAAACAATCAATTATATAAATGAACAAATGTTTTCTCCCAAGATAATTTTGTAGAATAAGAACATTTCCTCTTTTTTCCTGTTTTTCACCAGACTTTAAAACAGTGTCTGCCACTTAGAAAATAGATAATATTTCTTTCTTAAATTGTTTCTGAAGAACCCCACTCTTTTCTAGTTGTTCATTGAAGAGAGGATGAACATTAAAAAAAATCTTCAAAAGAAAACTTTAGTAGTCAAAACTACCTCTCAAAGGCAAACAGAATTTTAAAAAAATCTCCCTTATCATATTTGACTTTTCAGGAGCATTTGACAAGCAATGTATAACAGGCTTTTGTTGAAATATTTTTTCCCTAGTCTTTGGCCAACACACTCTTGGTTTCCCTTGATAACTCTGTCTGTGGTTAGTCTTACTCTCCTTTAGTTTGACCTTCCTTTCATGTCCTCCAGATGTTAATTTTTTCTAGGTGTTAGTTCTCTCTCCTCATTTCTTCTACATGTATACTTTGTTTGGAGGTGATCTTGTACAGTCCTGTGGCTTTTGAATTTCACCTGCTTTCTGTCAGCCTGAATTCTCCTATAACTTTCACAATGACAGCTCTCCTCTCACAGGTGTTCCTGAGGTGTTCTGTGTTCCTGAGCATGGCACTTCTAGAGTACAAAAAAGTATCATCTGAGGTGCCTCTCTTTCTCTCAAATAACATCCATCAGCATGTCCCCTTAATTCTAGCTTCTAAACATATCCTTAAACCCACCATTCTTACTGTCTTAGGTACAACTCACTTGAAAAAAGTGCCTCATTTGTCTTCTTAGGTGGCTCCTACCATACTCCTTTGCAATCTCTTCTCCAACAAGCAGTCTTAAAACCATATATCAATTCCTCTGACATCTTGTTTGAAGTATCTCTTCCTTCTCCAAACAAAATCCACATTTGTTGCTAAAGCCTACAAAGTCTCATGTATTCTTGAGCTTGGCTGTCTCTCCACTTTCATCTTCCCACATTCCTGTCCTATCTCCCACTACGTACTTTGCTACACCAATGCTATTTCTGTGTGAGAGGCCATGTGCTCACTGAAGATCTTTATACCTTGTATAACCTTGGTTCAGATACTTTGCCCTTCAAGTATGGTAACCAGATAAAAACAGAGCACAGGTTACATTCAAATTTCAGATTAAAAAGCATCATTTAGTGTGCACATATTTATCCCAGATATCTCACAGATACAAGAGAGGTATGATCCACAATGTGTGTATAGCAAGTATTTGATGAATGAATAGCAAATGCTTAACTGAGAAGCACACATGTTAATTGGCTAGAAAGATTACAAGCATAAAGTAATAAGTAAAATGACTAGGGGCTAGGAAGGTGGCTCAGAGGTAGAGTGCTTGCCTTGCATGCATGAGGCCCTGGGCTCAAGTCCTCAGCATCACATAAGCAGAAAAAGCCAGAAGTAGCACTGTGGCTCAAGTGATAGAGAGCTAGCCTTGAGCAGAAGAGAGCTGAGGGACAGTGCCCAGGCCCAGAGTTCAGGCCCCACAACCAGCAAAAACAAGAAAAGAAAAGAAAATGACTAAATGTCAGTCAGGAGTATACCCACATTCAGGCTAAGTATCAATATGATGGAGTAAAAACCTATGCAGATACAACTCATTCAGGTAATAAAGAATGCATTTTTCAAGGAAATTCTTGTTAATGTGAAATAAGTCTTAATATTGTAGAAACTTATTGTGAAAAGAAAAAAAATATTCTCTGGCTCTTCATTGTTTTAATGTTTTCCCATAACCTCCATGTGATAATGGGATTTGTCTGTTTCAGTCTGGGAGATGGAAATTTAGATCAGTTATTTGGAGTTCCCATGGTTTGTATGTTGATTCACATTGAAAGAGCCACCCATCCAGTTTCCTGATCATATTTTCTCATGTGTCTCTCACATGGTGAAATCACAGATAATAAAATAGAAATTATGCTGGGAAAGTACATTGTGAGGTATACTTTGAACATTTTCAAATTCACAAATGCACAGGTTAGGGGAGAAACCTCAGTATTTTCTCTGTCTTCCCACTGACTCCATGATCAAACAAGAGTCTGATAATTTTAATGTTTATCAGAGTAGAAAAACAATGGATTATTCCCTCACATTAAAACTGGTAAAGGATGTGATGCTAATATGTTATATATTTAATTTTTAAATACAATTGACTAATTTTACTAGAATTCTTTAAAACTTTCTCAAAAGATTGTTAATAAAATACATCATTTGAAAATTCTCTATTTCCTTTTCTTCTTTAAAACTTATTAAAGAAAAAGAAACCTAAATTATAGTTCAATTAATTTGGCTTGCTCTAAGGTTTACCTTTATGACCATGTATAAGTTAAAAACCTCTTCAATTTATTGTTGCTAAATAAGCATTGAGGCGTTCTTTGTCTTTTTTTTCTGCAGCCAGAACCTGGGAAAACTAATTGCCCAAAGGATACAGTAATTAAAATAACATATAATTTTAGAAACCAATTTTGCCAAATTAAATTCAGCTAAGGAAAGTGTGCCCTATTGTTTCTGAAAATAGTTCATTAATTCCCTTTAAGGGGCAAATCACTCATGAATATTCTTCAAAAATAATTATTAGATATTAGGTTTCGACAAAGCTATATTAAACTCACTCTGGCAGTGCAGCAAAGAAAACCTACATCTATCTATCTATCTATCTCTCTATCTATCTATGCGTTAGTGTATTTATTTTTGCCAAACTCTGGTTTGAACTCTGGATTTTGTTCTTATTAAAAAGGAACTCTACCATACTATTAGACTATGTCTATTTTATTTTTTGTTAAGTGAATGAATACTGAACTGAACTATAACTCTTAATTGAAGTAAATTCTTCTTCTACCTGGCATTTTAATGTACTGACACAATCACCCAAAGAGATAGGAAAAAAATTGGCAAATTGTTTAAATATAGAAATATTAATACATGCATAGACACAGCTGTATGGATACATATACATTTTATGTACCCCAAAGATACTTTTATAAATTGGATTTACATAAAATAATGAACTTTTTCAGTGAACACATAGGCTTGCTTTGCTTTCTCAGATTAATTAAAAACCTCTGGCATTTTGTCATCTTTTTGTTTTCCTTTACCACATAAGTATCCATGAAATCCTCATCAAAAGGTATGATTTCAACACCTTTTGTGTTTTAAGATGTTTGTATGGTACTTCATAAACAAATACCTACAATCTATATCCTTTATGGACTTCACAGTATACCTAGCCCTTGCTTTCTATGTTTAAGACTTATATACATATATAGATGGGATTTGTTTGTACGCGGCTGCTGCATACATTTAGCTGCATATACAGAGTACAGTCATTCTGCTTGGAAGGCAAGTATATCAAGACACCAAGCAGAGATCAACAATTCATATTGTAGTCATTGAAATTCAGCAATGACATCTCATTTTTATTTTTTATTTTTTCTGGTTATGCAATTTATGCAGAAAAACAGAAACATGCATTATTTTACAAAAGTAGAAAATAAAATCAAAGCCACCATTTCATTAATAATAAGCTGTTTTAGAACTATGGCTTCATTACAATATATAAAATTAACAAATATGTGTATTTTAATAAGGATGTACGATTTAATTCAGTTTCTTGTGCATCTTATATTTATAGTCATTATGCTTTTAGGGGGATATTTATAATGCTATATTTTCATAGTTATGAAAATATGCTCATTAAACTGTGGCAGATTATAAAACAATATTTAGAAATTTATATCTAATTGATAACCTCTAAATATTTTCTAAAATTTGTGTGATGGAGAAGAGTAGTCATTAGAATCAGGTGAAAATATGAGACAGATGCTGGTGGCTCACACCTGTAATCCTAGCTACTGAGGAGGCTGAGATCTGAGGATTGGGGTTCGAAGCCAGTCCAGAAAGGAAAGTCCATGTGACTCTTATCTCAAATAATCTCTAGAAAACTGTAAGGGGAGCTGGTGCTGAAAGTGGTAAGTGGTAGTGCTAGCCTTGAGCAAAAAGCCTTAGGGACAACGCCCTGGCACTGAGCTCAATCTCCATGACTGACCAAAAAGAAAGAAAAAGAAGAAGAAAAAAGAGAAGATATGTAAATATGTGTAGAATATAATTTGGTACCCTTGAACTACAGTTGTCTCATTTCTATGATGATCAGAAATAGGGATAATATAGAATCATACAATTCTGTTATTTTTCCTTATTTAAAAGTTCATCACATATCTCTATATATCTCTCTGCATAATTTACTTAAGGTTTTGATGAAGCTGCATTTTAAACAGCAGCTCATATGCCAATATTAGGGTCCGTATGGAGAGAGATCATGTAATTTTGAGCTTATATTTAGCCACTAAAACTGTCTAGGTTACTTTTATTTGAAACTTTTTGCTACAAAAACCATTCTATTGTTATTTCAGAAGAAAATTGATTATTTTCTGAAACTAGCTCTGCTACTATCTCTTCTGGCATCCGCTAGCCCGCTAAATTGGGCACAATTTAATCTAGTGGCTTCCTGTTCAATGAATACCTGGGAGCCAGTAAAGAAAGAGCACAATGAAAGTTTCCCTAATCACACAATCATGATGATTCTCAAGCATCAGAAATTAAATTTCAGAACAATAGATCACTGAACACAAATGTCAGGCCTATATCTATTCGGTAATATTGTTTTTTTTTCACATTTGATATCTACTCCTTAAATTTTTTGCGTGAACTAGGAATGAGAAACAGAAATGAGAAACACATACTATGTCAATAACAATATAACGTATTTGGGAAATTTACTCCATAATGTTTGATAAAGACATTAATTTTGTCAGCAATTTTGGAAAATTATGCTCCTGACTAGTTCTAGTAGTTGTTATTAAACATTATCATTAAGAGTTTATAATTAATTTTTCACACTCATTTAAAGTTTCTATAAACATCCTATGAGAAAATAGTGATTTCTTTTAAAATAAACAAAGAAATGTAATGTATTCAGAATGAGAAACTATCCTTTGAAATCAGTGACTTGCAAAACAATAACAGTACTGGAATTTTAGCAACTTTTTTCTCGGACATTAATTATTATAGAATTAGGGATATGGATTTTCTAAAATATATCAAGCCAAAAAACCAAAAGAAAGAAAAATTAGAGAAAAGTGACTGACCATCCACACCACATGAAAACTTGCAGTAAAATGAAGATAGGAGCTGACATCATGGAACAGGCACGACTCGGTGTGCATATAAGTTGATCCTATTAATAACGGGCAAAGTAGCAAGCACAGGAAGAGGAAAGAAAACACAGAGAAGAAGACATACAAGATGAGATTTCATGCAGTTTGCTGGCAATTAGCAGTTAATGTGAGCCTTCATCCACAGCAGATTCAACAGTGACCATTGCAAATGAGCATTACCAAAGTACTCCACTGCTAAAGAAAACACGACACATTATTAGCACACCAAGCTACTGAGCAAGACCTGTACTTTCACACACAACCTGATATTCAGTTTATAGAAACTCCAATCACTGGCAACTTTTGTTCTAGTCTAATATTTTAAATACCTTGGATAACAGCTATAACTTACTAGGCTGAGAATATTTGAAGTCTAGTTTATTTTAATCATCTTTTGAACTTTCATTTATGAAAGGTGGTAATAGTTAATAAGTAAAGTTCCCCTAATGAATGAAACTATAAATTGGGCTTAGAGAAAGAAAAAAAAAGCTTTAATTACAATACCTATTTACTTACCCTATAACAAAGGAAAGCACTTTTCACAGAGAAAACTGGGGTTGAGCAGCTAAAAATACTCACAATTTTAGTTCTATTCTCTAATACTGATTTGACTTCTTTGCTTCATTTTTATTACCTAATTTCATAATAAGTATCTGTAGCACTACAAAGTATTAATTTTGCTGGAATAAAATAGGCAAACCTATTCTAAATAAGAACCTCTAAAATACATATTAATTGGTAGATTTTTGGCTATGTTTCTAAAATAATTTATTATAATGTTTTAGGTTTGGATCTCACTTGTATGTACAAGTCACTTAATAAAAAATAACACTGAAAAACTATAGAGTAGAATAATAATCTATTTTAAGTCAGTTGAAATTGGGACAGATTTCATCAGAAAATATCCTTAATCTTTAGGTAACATTCAATAAGTATTCTTTGTAATATTCAATCAAATTAACATTAAATAATTAACGTGGCCTGATTTTAAATAATCGAAAGCCAAATTAGCACAATTAAGAGGAATAATACAAGCTAATATAACTGAAACAGAACCCATGTAGAAAAAAAACATAGAACCATAATATAGAATAGCTACAGAACAAAATTAGAAGAGAATAAAATGCTAAAAAAAGGACTAATATAAGTTTTATAGTAAGAGCAACATACCAGTTTTGAGGATTTGATTTTAACTATTTTAGAATTGGATTATATATGAATAGACAATAAACATACCTTTAAGTAATATTTACTCCAAGCTACTATTCATTAGAAAGTCTGTGAATTATATTAGTGACCCTAGAGTATCAGCAAATCGATTAGAGTTGTGTTTGAAAGTACAAGGTCTGGGAGAAAGACAAAAGCATCAACTACTCAAGTTTATGCTAATCATAAATACTGAAGTAAAAACAAAAACAAAAACAAAAACTCTACCAGCAAGTACATCAAGTCCACAAGAAGAACTGTGGTTAAGACATTATATTTGAATTAAAATTTCAACTTATCTCTTTAACTTCTTAGGGAAAATGATCATTAATTTATAGGATTTAATTCCAGAAAAAGAGTAGCCTTACCAGGATGTTGTTGTCAAAGCAGACATCAGGCCCTTTTCGGTATCTGGGCTGCTTAACCATATCGCAAGGGTCTGGACCATCAGCTAAAGAGACTTGTTAAGGAGAACGAAGTTGTTTTCGATATGATTACAGAAATTACAATGAAATACGTCTGATACCAAAAGAGAGCAGGGGATAGCCATATCATCACTTTCCCTGAACATAATCAATTTAAGAACTTGGAGATGTAAGAAATCATAAATTATTCCTTCTCCTCATAATGAACATGTAGCATAATCAGTTTTGACATGCATGCCAAATTTGGGGTGTAAGATCTATTTCTGGCTCTGTGGGGCTGACTCCAGTAATGTAATATTCTTCTCTTTATGAACAGGAATAAAATGACAAGTTTAAAATTCCTTTAGGATGGCTTTCTGTTCCAAACATCTCTAACACCAAAGGATACATGTCTGTTCAGCTTGCATGAGTAGCCGTGTGTCACAGGGACAAGTTCCTTTGCTCTCCACCATTATAAATATTAAGTTGGTATTCATAAGCTTTTCTACATGAAAGATTCTGCAAAATAAATGTTAATGTATGAGATAAATATTATTTCAGGGAAAGATAAAATATTGCAAAAATCCTCACATATTACAAAAGAATTAATATGAACTACTGGAAAAAAACCATCACCATCATAAATAAAACAGTATGAGATTTTAGGAGAGCATTTTATTAGACAGGTTTCATTTAGAATAGATTTTTTTTTTTTTTGGGGGGTCTGGTCATGGGGCCTGAACTCTGGGCCTGGCCGCTGTCCCTCAGCTCTTCAGCTCAAGGCTAGCACTCTACCACTTGAGCCACAGCGCCACTTCTGGCTTTTTTTCTTTTTGCTTATGTGGTGCTGAGGAATCGAACCCAGGGCCTCATACATGCAAGGCAAGCGCTCTACCACTGAGCCACCTTCCCAGCCTAGAATAGATTTTATTAGCATGAACATGTTTAATCTTTTAAATGAATGTTAAATTCAAAGGTAATACCTAAAACATCTCATATTGGAAGTTTTGAAGTACTAGTTCTTATCACACAAAAATTTAGTTTTTGAAACTTACAGAAAAAATATTCATGTCACATGTTCAAGGAAATTTTGACCTTTAAACACTGAAAGTATATTAAAATTGCCTTATTTTTACCGGTATGAAAGCTAAGACCAGAAAAGTGGCTGTGTATCTCGCCTAAGCTAAGGGCAGAATATAGATTATATCAATGCTGCTCAAAAAACTCTCTGAAAAGATTTGTGCAATATAATAAACATTATTCACATAGTGCCCTTGAGCACAGGTAATAGAACAAGTGTGATTTAGGCCCAAATTTTTAATTGAGTTAATTTCACTGTTAATTTACATAGGCATCTGTGGTTGCTAACTCTTGCGGTGGCTAGCACTGGGAAAGATAAAATCAAGCGCTTTAAACTCCATCCTCAGTTTAACTACTTCCATCTTCCTTTGTGAACCAGGATAAAATGTAAATCTATAACTAAAATTTTTCTGTTATACATTTTTTTAACAAAGGAGTTTTATTTCCTTTCCTCCACATTGAAGCAAATGCAATGAAAGCAAGATGTAATGTAATATCATGGCCATATTTATCTTTACCTTACAGATTAATTTACCTCTTTACAGACAGCTATCCCTGGGACTCAATTATTGTAAAATCAAAGGATTCTGAAATCATGAATGTATCTACAAATATGCTCTAATCCCATATGTGGAACCCAGTCTGTTATGCTCATCTCCAAATGAGAGGGGTCTATTTTCTGAGACCATGTTTGACTTCTTCCCTTTCTTCCTGGCTTGGACCACCTTGTTGGACATAGTACTTTGTAAAAGTAAATGACAAAACATACTTACTATGTCTATTAAATATTCATGACAGTTTTGGCTAATCCTTTTTGTTGGAAAAAAAATGTTTTAATGATTACAGACTACTTTTCCAAATCCCCTAGCAACTGATTATTCCAGCATTTTCATGAGCTCGGATTATCTCACCTGCTCGTATTTCTTCTTCTCACGGTTAACATTTTTTCTGGAATAACCTGCCCTGTGTCACTAAAACCAGTGTCCAACTCTTCTTAATTTGCGGCATGCTGTTTGCTTTTCTGATACCCTGTTACTTAGAGTATCACTCTCTTCTCGAACTTTTGAACATCTCCTTTCTCATTGCCTTTCTTTTTTATCCCATTACAACCAATTAAATTTCCATCTCTTCCAAAATGCTAGAATTAATCCTGATTTTAGGAAAGGATAATTTTTCACAATTTCAACTCAAAACCACATTCAAAATTCCATGTTAGTCAAGAATAGAAGTAAAAATAAACACAGCCACCTTCTTTAGATATCAGTTTGTAAGTGTTACAAAGTTAATTGAATAACATTAAATTAATTATAATAGAATTAATATAATTTAAAACTTTCTCAGAAAGGATTTTTATTTGTTTGTTTGTTTTCCAAAACTGAGATTTGGATTCTGGGCCTCATGTTGTTGCTTAGCTTTTTCACTCAAGCCTGGACCATCTACTCTTGAGCTACACCTCCAATTCTGACTTTATGCGGATTGAGTGAATCAATAAGAGTCTCTCACAGACTTTTCTTTTTGGACCGATACCAAACCATAATATAGCAGACATAAGCCATTAGCACTTAAGTAGAAAAATCTTATTATGGTTTATTTTAGTTGAAAGTGCATTAAAATATAACCAAATTTCTCCACATTCTGGCTAAAAAAAGGGAAGCTCTGACTCCTTTGTCTATCTCCATGATTGTCAGTGATGATTATAGCAGCGAATGCAATTTCCTAGTGACCTAAGACTAATCCAGACAGAAAGGAGAAAAGTACCTGGAGCAGTTTCCACAGTCTAATACACCACTAAGTGATTTGCTGTCATTGTCAAAGAAATACTGTGTTTGTTCAGTAATGCAGCTCTGCTTTGACAGAGAGGCAGAGAAGTCATCATCTTCCATCTCCACTGTGGAAAGAAAGCAAAGGTCACCATCATGAGTACTGTGGTCTGTTACTCCCCCCACCCCATCGTTCACTGGAGCAACTGGCTTGTTTACTGGGTAAATACCTTCATAGACCCTTGTTGATGTCCAATAAGTACCCAAAAGAATAAATTACAAGCCAGTACAAATGAGAAAAGCTTATGAAAAATTAGAACATAGCTGACAAAAATTTCAGCCTACCAGTGTTAGACAGATGATCTCTATCTCTTTGTCTGTCTCTCTTTCTAGATACTCACACACAGGTTCTTTATGTGTAGAATATTCCCAAAGAAAGTGTTCATTGTTATTATGAAAATTAAAATATCTAAATATTTACCTACCTGCTTCAAGGAGCCGTGGAAAGGTCAAACTCAAGAGCAACTGCTGGAGAATAGACCTGAATGTTTAAAATGAGTAACTCATATAAATCTAGGAGTTTTTATATATATATATATACATAAATTTTACAATAAAAATATGAGTTGTTTCACAGAAACATGCCTCTAGAATCACAAGTTTTCTTTCCAACATTTTGGGAAAAATTAAAAGTTTACTAACAGAAAGTTTAGGAGCTCTGTGTGTGTGTGTGTGTGTGTGTGTGTGTGTGTGTGTGTGTGTGTGTGTGTGTGTGTGTGTGTGTGTGCGCGCGCGTACAAGGGCTTTTACAGTTTAATTTTCAGCTGGCTCTGTGCCATTTAAGCCATGCATCATCTAGTTCTGGCTTTTTGCAGGTTTATTGGAAATACAAATTTCTCAGACTTGCCTGCCTGAGGTAGCTTTGAAATCTTAATTCTCAGATCTCAACCTCTGAGTAGCTAGAATTATAGATGTGAGTCACAGGCTTCATACTAGGAATATTTTTATATGTTAATTCCTAAATTATACAAAACAGTATAATTTTGTTTTAATCTGTAAAACGGTTAAGAAGTAAAAAGTGTTTGGGACCAAGGGAGGGACTCCTTTCCCTATTACTAACAAAAGTAAAATGCTAACTTACCAGGCAGCTGCAGTGGCCCACCAGCCAATTTGTAATATGTCTGCTATGGATGGCTGCAAAATATAATAGGAAAGTCAGTCCAGTATACTAGCTATGCTAGAGTGTGCTTTTGAGAGGAACTGATGCATCAGGGATTCTACTCACCACATATGCTGAGCGATGGCCTGCTCCTTGCTTTGGTGTAGTAACAGGATTACACACTGACTGATAATCATAAGATTTGTTAAAAGCATAAATTGATATATTAACTAGGTGTCTCATCAAGCTTGGATCAATTTCTCCAAAAAAGCGTCCAATCTGGTCAAAATAAATAAATAAATAAATTATGAGAGTTTCAAATTGAAAAAAAATACTAAGAAACCAAGAACCAAAAATAAAAATCATTAGAGCTCAAAAATAAAAGCAAATGATGTACCCTTATATGACAATATGAGAAATGCAAATGGCTCAGGTCTCTATCCTAGCCACTTTGGTTGTAGCATGGCCAGGGAAGATTTCAGCTAAGCCAAAGTTCTCATAACTCCTTCTTAACCAATAGGTCCCATCCCAGGAACATAGATAGTATAATGATGAGGATCATGAAAAAAGGAAAATACTATTCAAAACATAGTGAAAGAAAAATGAGCTGGAGGTGTGGTTCAGGTAATGAAGAGCCTGCCTAGCAACTGCAAGGCCTAGAGTTCAATCAATCAAATAAAAATTAGAGCAGATACTCTCATTATTCCTTATGGTATTTGTTTATGAAAGAAATGGACCCAGATCAAGGAGTCACAATAAAATGTGTGTTACATAAGTAGAAAAGGGTTGATTGGCAAATGAAGAGACATAATTCAGAAGGTAGCAAGTTGCAGGTCTATAATATGACTATGCCTAGGAAATAAGATGGTTAATTCTACTGTATTGCATATTAGAAATTTGTAGAGAGTTCATTGCATGCACTCCTATAAATATAAGAATGAAAATCAAAAGCAAACACAAAAAGCCAAACTATTTTCAGAATCTGAAACTATCTCCAAACAGGAGAGTGGGTTGAAGTAAGTAGACAAATGAATGAGTATATATTATGATGAACTGGAAGAATTTCACTTTAAGAAGAAACCAGTACCTATTTCAGCTCTAGCCATAAAAAAAACAATATTTATTCAAAAGAACTCCAGTGTTGAAACCTCTATGATTTTTTTTTAAAGAGAAGTCGGAACTGTAGATCCAAAAATGAACTTAGTTGGCAGCTAAGTTGAAATTTAGTTAAAATCCTGTTGATCACAATATCTTATGTACTGGAACCAGAAACTCAACCAGTCATACATTAAGTTAGATATTAAGATCTTTAATTTGCTATAATTTTATAAACATTTGAAGGCATGAAAATAAGTTCATATCATGTTAAAATCCTTGGTTAAACTATTTATATCCAAAAGTAAAATCAAGTAACAAACACAAATAAAAGATTTAACATGCTTTTCTTAGTGGCTTACATTATATACAGCATTTTAAAATTTATTTTGTCATAGAAATAAAGCAACCCATCAACTTCTAAGATGTTTGAAGAGATTTTGTTTTAATGTACACCAGGGTTATATAATTTGGAGAACATACTTCTTGAATGACATTGCCCCATTTGTTAGGAAATGGAAAGACTTGGAAAAAATTATACTAAGTGAAGTAAGCCAGGCCCAAAGAAACATAGTCCCATGGTTTCCCTTATTTGTAATAACTAGTATATGTCTGAGATAAACAGAAACGGTCAGATATGTTGATGTTAGGTGAAATGAACCCCAAGATAAGTATTCAAATGCTTTTTACATTCATGCGATTGTTTCTAACATATTTATAAGATTATTTTTTTGTTACTGTGTATGTCCCTCCCCCATGACATAACCCCTGCTTTCACTGTATTTGATGTTGGTATAATTTGTGTAGGGGAAGGGAAAAAACAAATCATTTAAATAGGGATACAGGTGGACCCATTGCAACAATGAGATATACAAGATGTTATATCAAAAACGAACTTTACAACTTTGGCTGTGGGGGGAGAGGGGATATGGTTGGATGGGTGGGGTGGGATATGGGAAGGGATGGGAAGGGGAAACAAAGGAGGAAGCAACAGTACTTGATAAGAAATGTACTCATTATCTTGCCCATGTAATTGTAACTCCTCTGTACAGTATTTTCATAATAAAAAAAATACTTCTTTCCTCCTTCAGTTACATACCTGATTAGTATAATCATCATGATTTGCCATCAAAAGAAACCCACCATCATCTAGAATCACACAATCCATTACCTGTAAAAATAAAAGTAGATTTTTAGGAGGAATATGGTATCTCATTATGATTAGTACATAAAATTAAAGAAAAACGTATATCTATCTATTTATTCATATAAGGTATATGTTTAGGGAATTGTTCTGAAATAAATTAAGGGCAAGTATCAATGTCAAAACTCCTTATCTTAATAATCTACCAATAGTCATATACTTAGATTTTCCAATCAGTATGAACAAATCAGCAATAATCTTTTTTACAAGTTCTAAGTAATCTAAATGATACGGAAAAATAGATAAACCAAAATGTTCAATAATTTGCAATTATTTTAATGTTGAACATATGGTTATCATCCAAAACATATAAACATTAGTTACCATATTTGATATATTAGAAGAAAAAACAGCATAAAATTAATAACTTCTATATTTATGTATTTGAACACAGTTGAATGATAGGCAATTAAAGGCCAAAAAGTAAAACAAAATATGTACTGAAATCTAGAAAAACAAATCACACCCCATTTAAAATATATTACATGTTGGAAGCCAATTCAGTAACTGTTACCAAATAAAATTAAAACTTAAAGCACGCCATTCAAAGTTGGGACCATAATACACTATTTTCCTAATTTGGAAGTAGTTTGCTTAAACCTTTGCTCTAAAGACAGCTGCCACCTTGCCTATGTAAGATAAGCAAGATATAAAAATTGTACAGGCAACTGGCTTATAATTTTGCCAAAGTGGAAGTGGTAGATGTGACTTGAGTCCATGACCTTCCTTGGAAGTAGCATACAGACACATAAATGGGCTTGAGTAGCTAATTGCATCACACTTTTTCAGTTAATTTATGCAACATTATTATGATGATGATACTAAGAATATCTTCAATTTGTTTAATTTTGAACAAAGTTGGAACACATTTTTTGTTTCCATTTTCTTTTCCAATTTCATTAGCAAAAATAATCTTGTGTGTGTGTGTGTGTGTGTGTGTGTGTGTGTGTGTGTGTGCGCGCGCACAAGCGCGCTAGTACTGGAGCTTGAACTTGGGTACCTGGGAACCTTTCTCAGCATTTTTGCTCAAGGCTAGCATTCTACCACTAAGCCACAGCTCCACTTGTGGCCTTTTGGAATTTAATTAAACATGAGTCTCAGATTTTTCCTGCCCAGGCTAGATTCAAACTGCAATCCTCAGATCTCAGACTCCTGAGTAGCTAGGATTACAGGTGTGATCAACCAGTGCCCAGCTCCAAGACAAGGTGATACTCAATACTTTCAAATGAAACTTTGTAATAAACTATGTTATATAAGGGCTCAGTTAAAATTACTTTCCAAAGCTATAGGGCAAACAACTTCAGAGAAACTGTGAAACAAAATAAAGGTAAGTTTCACTGGAGACCAATCGAATGCTTTGTTAGAAAGTTCCCATTCAGAAATGGAGTTGGAGATAAATAAAAGAACAAAAGAACTTACTGTGATTGGAACTAAAGACAACATCATTTACATGAATATGACTATTTTTTTACCTTATCAAATTATGACTTATATTTTTTAAAAAGCTATTTGTTTTAGGACTTCAAATTAGATTAACCTCAAATCTACTAATTGGTTTACTTTTCCTTTATTTGGTGTTATAATTCTTAAATCTTTCTAATCATTAAAGGGATTACCAAGGGATAATAACAAAAGAAAACATTGTAGTTTAATGTGTTTTAAAAGATTTTTCTTACATCACTGTTTCTTTTGCAGTCACATACTGGGCCAGCACACTGAAAAAAATATTATTTCACAATTAAAGCATGCTAAATTTCAATTCTATTATATTAATTAGTAGTACAGTGTTCTAAAGCATTTGAAATAATTTATCAAATGTAACAGTGTCTAAGAAAAAAAGATACCAGTTTTGTGTTTAATCTAAAAACTATCAACCAATATGTATCTAAACTAGATTGCTCATTTTCAAGTTAAAAATGTGAAATATTCTTCTATGCATTTATTGAATTAATGTTTAAAATAGAAACTTACATTTCAATGTATTAGCATTGCACATTTACCTTTCCAGTGTATAACACCCTTACCTCTTCACTAATTTTGAAGCTACTATGATTAACATAAGAATTTCAAATATTATCTTACCGGATCCCTGATAGCAGTTTTGGTGAAATTCTCTATCCAGGAATTTACATCAATTTTAATTCCCACAACTAAAAAAAAATGCAAATTAATTCAAAATCTTATTTTTTGAAATACCATATTTGCTATTAACAGCTTAGGTAATTTACAGAATTGAAAATAAATGTTGGATTGAATTTTTTTTTACAGAAATGTACTGGGGTAGTATTCTTTAAGAAATAATGCAAGTGGGGGGCGGGGAAGATGGGTGGGGGGCGAGGGGAGGATGGGAAGGGATGGGAAGGGGAAACAAAGGAGGAGGCTACCATGCTTAATAAGAAATGTACTCATTATCTTGCCCATGTAATTGTAACCTCTGTACAGTATTTTCACAACAACAAAAAAAAGAATGATTGATTTACAAAAAATAATGCTAGTAATACTTAAATTATTATCTAGCCAATTAATTTAAAAAATAGGAATTGATGGAAAAAACATAAAGGATATATAATCTGAGTTCATTCTAATTGAGCTTTTAAGGAACTGGGCCAGTGAATCCAGTAAGTGATTAAAAAATGTATATTGAAAGAATAAATAGATGAGTGTGTGAGTTGGTAGGAGATGGGGGCACATAGGTGCAGACCTGAGAAATAACGGATTAGGTAAATAAGAAATGAGTGGTTGAGGGAGTGAAGGCACAAGTGAAAGATGAAGTCAATTCCATGTATTAGACCACTGCCCTCCAAGGAAACAAGCTCTATCTCCTCTTCCATCTGGCTTTCCTAAAGACACACTCTTTTCTAAGCTATAAACAATACTGGATTGCATCCTGAAAAAAAAATGCCTCATATCTATAATTTGATTGTGATTGTATTTTCCCACTTTAGCACATATCCAATTCTCATCAATGAATACTTATATTTTGTTCTGATTTGCTTGATTGATTTATTTTACCAACATTTTCCCCATGTTCTAGATAGCACATTTTTAATGCAACACTACCTAGTTCCCTTTGACACCACTGTGCCTAGTGTATAGATACAACATAATTAACCTTTTCTCTCTGTGATAGAAACTTACCTTTTATGTTAAATTATTACTTTTAGGTTTCCTCTTGGCCCATACTTTTGTGCATATATCTTTGAAAGGGGAAGAGGCTTCTAGAGCAGAATGGCTAGGTCAATCCAAGATTTAATTTTTTATATTTAAATATTAAATATTACAGCAAATTGGTGCATATATTTTATCAAGCACATATACACATATACAGTTCTTCAAAAAGTCATTAACTTTATAGTAGCATTTTGATTTTAGTCCCAATTTCATTGGTCTCTCATAATATGTTATATTCTTTTTGCAGACTTAGAAGTCTTTCAAGTTTATTTTGTTTGGAGTATTCTCATGAACTTTCTCATAAACATATATAGTCACATTTAATTTTAGTCACATGTATGATGGCTATGCTTACCTGCGGGTTTAAGAAGCTTGCCTTGGATAGATATTTCTACAGCTTTGCTTACCATAATGCCTGACTCAAAGGGACCAGGCCCGCTTGCTAAAATAAAGAAACACAGAACAAGATCTATCATATTGTTGAACTTCTTTCTTTAGAGATGGTGTTCTGCTCATAAAGAGATGTGTGGCCTCTTCTTTGTCATTTCTTCCTTGTTTAACTAGTCTATTAGAAATGTCTCAGAAATGGTTTTGATTAATTTACTTGTGGGCATGAATTCAACATCATGGTTGCATCTAGTTCCACAATAAAATGTCTGCACATCAAATCTCAGCTCTATAACCTTTGCTAACACATGGGGCAAGCTGCTAAAGAGAAAAGGGAAGAATGATCTTGGCTTCCTAAAGCTATCTTTACCTTCTATGTCCACAGACAAAGCTCCGAAATTCTCTGAGTTTCAGTTTCTTTATTTGCAAAAAGGAAAAGGAAAAATACCTATGCTCAAGTATGTTGAAAAAGCAAATTGGAAAGTTTAGAGAAAGAAACAGATAAAATATTTTAAAATGTTTTTTTTTAATTTTCATAAATACCAAATTACTGAATTAATGCTGAAAAATGCAGGCAATCAATTTGCTATACCTTATTTAATTCATTAAAAAAATTTTAATTTATTAGTTGTGATATGAGGAATTAACTACATATGTTTCTATTTATTATGCATGCCTGCCAGATATGCTAGCTATCCTTATTGGATGACTTCTGGCTGTGTAACCATTTTAACCTCTTGAACTAAATAAATGTCTTTCCTGTTTTCCTGATATTTTGCATCTACCATATGCTTTATAATGAATGACACTTCTGAGCAGTGAACATTAAATGTATTGATTTTGGGAGAGCAAGCAGTAGCAATGATTTGTTTTAAAAAGGAACTGAGAAAATGACTTCTAGAGAATGAATACTTACTGTTAAAGATAGGAGCAGTGAACACATAGTTATCATTATCTAGGCTCCTTTTGTAGAAGCTTTCTTCATATGTTTCAGGGTTTTCTTGCCAATTTTCTCCAGCCCTAAGGAGGAAATAGCTCATAATTTGTATTCTTTAAACTATAAGATAACCTACTTTTCTCTTTGTGGACACATTGAGGTTGAGAAATGTATCTACAACTCCAGTATGTCTAATGGAGTTAATGTTGATTGATAGTGTAAGTGACATGCATTCCTAAGCAATATATCAACATAACATTATATTAAGTATCAGAAAAACCTGACTCCTAGTTTTACTCTGTTATTTTCTAGTCAGGAAATCATGGGTAAGGCAGTTAGAAGGCTAAATAATAAAAATAACCTTTGATGACTACTCTGCTCATTGCAAAGACAGTTCTTACGATAAACAGAGAGAAGATGCATGAATAAACAGAGAAAATGGTAAGTGCCTCATTACCATTGCTGTAGATTATAAGCAGGCTCACTGAACTCGTTTAGTTGTGTTTTTGGAGAGGAGTCATTTAAAACTCTCTTAAACTTTATAACAAATATATGACTGGCAACATTACCATTAAAAATGTTATTATATCATGTGGCAAAAAAAGTGGAATATTGAGCTAATATAAACATTTCAAATGGATTTAATCTATTGACAATGATTGGCTTCTCTGAAGATGGCTTCCTTACATAACAATGTACCGATCCCTCGTACAAGTCATTCCTGTGTCCTTTCTTTAATTTCTACATGTACTTTGAACTTACTCTTTGGGATAAACTCTGGTAACCCCACCATCCGTCACTACAAAGCGTGCTTTCACTCCCTTGCTGAAAGAGAATACAGAAAGAAATTTTTGCTTGTTTTTTTAAATTAAACTTACCTTACATTACATTAGGTGCTGGTGATATACCCTCTGTTCCCCCCCACCCCAAAATAAGTTTTTAGAATAATCAAGGTAGAAATGCAAAATCATGTACTCAGAGTAAGTATTCAGAGGGAGTGTGCCAAAGGAATGTTATGTCATAGAAAATTAGGAGCTTCATTTTGAAAATGAAGTAGGAGTTAGCAGGAACCACAATGCAAACAAGACATCATCATCTATAGAGTAAAACATATTTATAGGGAAACTAGGGAAGAATACTGGTGTTTGGTGAAAGGAATACACAAGGAATAAGGGGAGAAAGAGGAGAATTTGCCAGGTGCTGGTGGCTCATGCCTATAATCCTAGCAACTCAGGAGGCTGAGATCTGAGGATCATGGGTCAAAGCCAGCCTGGGCAGAAAAGTCTGTGAAACTCTTATCTCCAGTTAACCAGCAGAAGAGCCGGAATTGGCAATGTGTCTCAAGTGGTAGAGTGCTCTCCTTGAGCTGAAGAACTGAGGGACAGTGCCCAGGCCCAGAGCTCCACACTGGCCTCTCTTCCTCCCCCCCACCCCAAGAAAAAAAGAGGAGAATTTCAAGTTTCAAATACAAGTTTCTAAAGAATGGCCCATTTGTGATTGTTGACTTGGAAATCCACACTAGAGTCAGGGTCTCATTATGTAGTCTGCGCTGGCCTGAAATTCAGGATGCTCCTGACAGGGCTCCAAGTGCTAGTACCACACTTAGCTGAGGGTCCCATCATTATCTTAAAATGAGTTATGCATTAGAAGATTGTGGCAGGTATGCTTCGCACAGAGAACAGACTGGAAGCAATAAAAATGTAATTACCCTTTTCTGTGATTTCTTAAAATGGGATTTTCAGGTGTAGATTATGAACAAGAAAACATTGTAAGGAGAAATAGCATTTAGTGACTGACTGGAAAAGGGATGGAGAAGACGATGTCTTCTTAAGAATATGTATGCAAGATGCTACTATAAAGTCAAGTAAATATTCAGAGTTTAATTTACTCCTTGTGATGTATAAAGTTGGGTAATGACAGATATTAGTGCTGAAATATACTCTTAATTGAAAATGAAAATTGTTAACAATTGTGAAGTCATTTTCCTGAGAAATTATTATTAAAGGGAAATCACAAATTTTACATTTGTGAAGCCTATTATCAAAAATTTCCCAGAGAACAGCTAAAATGAAATGTACAGCAAATATTTTTTAATTAATAGGAACACATACTCACATGTTTTTCTGCTTACTCCAATAATTCTGGACAAGTTCATTTGTAAAGCCTGCATCCAGCAAGACTCTATTAATCAGGTCTGTATTACCTAATACAGAAAGGGGGATATTTCCAGTTTATACTCAGATATTTCAAAAATTCGCACAATAATGAAATAAATATCATTGCTGTTTTCAAAAATTAAGGTAGTAGATTACTTTAAACTTTAGTGGGAATTGTAATTTACTAATGGATTGAATACAATTTCTTTTGCAAACCAAACCAAACATGAATGTACTCCTTAAAGTATTTAGATCACAGATTTTATTCAACAATGCCTAGTTTCTACATAGTTTCAAATATTATTTGATTTTAAAAGATTAAAAAATAATATGGCAAGAAATCTACAATATTTACCAGTGTCCAAAGTATGTAAATGCCTTTTTTTGTTTTTTACAGATGTGGGCTGTTTACTACAATTTCTAGTTCTTCACATGACTACATAGTCATCTCAACTGTTTCCTACTAAGCTTAAGGAGAAGCAAAGCACATGGTGAATGAAGAAACAGAACAGGTAAGTATGGATTTGACCTAAAGCACCTTGTTTAAACATATCTACACTTTTTTAGGAAGAAGAGGCAGTGTGAAATTGATTGCCATTTCCACTGTGTTCTGTAGTTTTATTTTATATGTCATGAGAAATAATTAGGATAAACTTATCTTGGAAAGGAGAATAAAATTATTTCATAATTTTTATATCCAATTTAATGGAATAGTTAACAAATGGAATAGTTAACAATTTTATTATTTCATTTGTAATGTTCTTACTTGATTTGCTTCTTTGATTGCAATTTTAAGATACAAAGTTCATTGTGAGCAAAGTAGTTCAAACATAAAGATGATTGAATGATATTATGTTTGTTGTCTTTTGCATTACATCCATATAAAACCCATACAAATTGGAAGACATAAATACATTTATAAGATGTATCTGTTTTCTTCTATTTAACTGGAGCAATGTAATAAAAAAAATCTTGAAAAGATCATTTAAAATTCAGTTTCCTAAATTTAAGAAGAGCTCTGGTGAGAATATTCTATTTGCATTTAACTTCATTCAAGTATTGATTAATTCAAACTTTGAATCTCAATTAAGAATAAATGACATCTTTAAAACATAAAATCAAGGATCAGCTGGTTTCAATATTCAAAATGATCAGTTGGTTACATCTTACAATTATAATTGACAAAATAAATAAACCAACATACTAGTTTACTAATATAAAAATCATATAATATGAGAAGATCATATGAACAAAGACTTAATGGTTATGGATACAGCCATACAGAGGAAACTATTAAAAATTAATGCATACTTACATGATGGGTTGTTTGGTGTTTTTCTATCAATAAACTCATTGAAGTTTAAAAGAAATTCAGTGTTATTGTCTGATAGTTTAAGATCACTGCAGTATTCTCTGGAAAAGAAAAACATACTTTATGATGTTAGGATGTTTCCAGGGAAAGTAGAATATAAGAAGCACTTGTTTTTTTTTTTGGTTATACATGACCTTGCATAAACTTCTTGCTTATTTGAATTTCTTTATCTCTATTAAAGCAGAATAACACTGGGTGCTGGTGGCTCATGCCTGTAATCTTAGCTATTCAGGAAGCTGAGATCTGAGGATCACGGTTCAAAGCCAGCCTGGGCAGAAAAGTCTGTGAGAACCTTATCTCTAATTAACCACCAGAAAAGCCGGCGGTGTCTCTGTGTCTCAAGTGGTAGAGTGCTCTCCTTGAGCTGAAGAACTGAGGGACAGAGCCCAGGCCCACAGTTCAAACCCCACAACCGATCCCTGACTCCTTCCTGAGCCCAAAAAAAAAAGCAGAATAATATGTCAGGAGTAGGTGAGGTAATTATAGGTAATCTATACTTAATGCCTAACAGCAGGACAGTTAGTGCTCAATACATATTAGGTTGTCTCATACGCTTATCAATTATAAAGATTTCATAGTTTCATAAAGAAATTGAAATAAATGTAAAATATTCACTAGAATTTTTTTACGCATTATATGTTAACATATTTTATTTTACTGAGATTTCTTTTTCCTGGTACCTGGGAGGAGTTCTCTATGACAATGCCACACATGTATGTAATGCATTCTATTAATCTCCCATCTGTCTCCTTCATCCTCCTTCTCAGAACAGTTAAGCATGTCTCCACGTTCTACTTTCACCCAGACATATAAAGTATATACTCACATATTCTTATTGAGAATTAAGATTTTGTTTTGGGACATTTAGAAAATATGAATCAGAATTCAGAAATTTGCTTATGCAGAAATAAGAGTTACTCAGAATTTTATAAGTTCTCCTTAGGTTCTGAACAATGTGAAAAAATACACAAAAGCTTTCAGAAAATAATTTAGCTTGGATAAACAGGAATTACGTTCATTTTAAAACAGACTGATAAGTGTTTGGGTCAAATGTTGAGGAAATAAATAAAAATAAAGAACACTGAAGTCTGAATAGTTTCAAATAATTTTAAGAACATGGAAATATGCTAAATATCTGGGCACTGGTGGCTCACAGCTGTAATCCTAGCTACTCAGTAGGCTGAGATTTGAGAATCACAGTTCAAAGCCAGCCCAGGCAAGACAGTCCCTGAGACTCTTATCTCCAATTAACCACCGGAAAACTGGACATGGCACTGTGGTTCAAATGGTAGAGAGCTTGCCTTGAGCTGAAGAGCTCAGGGATAATGCCCAGGCCCAGAGTTCAAGTACCACAACTGACAAAAAAAAAATTAAGGAAATAAGCTAAATATTATATTATCAGTGGAGAAAGGAGATTAAGTGGGAGAAGAATATAACTGAGTAAAAAGATTGTTAATATGTAAAATTTTATGAGACAACGAATTATATTACAATGTATTTTCCACCCAGTGCCACTGGCTCATGCCTGTCATCATAGCTACTCAGGAGTCTGAGCTTTGACAACTGTGGTACAAAGCCAGTCTGGGCAGGAAAGCCTGTGAAACTGTTTTCTTCAATAAACCAACAAAAAAGCTGGAAGTAGAGCTACGCATCAAGTGGTGGCCTTAAGCAAAAAAAATCTCAGGGACTGTCTCCAGGCCCTGAAATCCAGCCCCAGGACTGGCATAAAAATATCATAAAATAAAATCTATTTTTTCAGAAGGCTAGTCTCATTATGAGATTAAACATCAAACATTAATTATGGGATTAAACATTATGAAACCAAACATTCCAGACATCTGCATAAATACACATATGCATGCATATATATGATGATACATATATATCTATGTATACCTGATTGTACATAGAATATACATATATACATTATATATGGTACATTTGAATGTGTGTTCACACACAATCAATTGTAAATATACAAATGTCCTGTATGTGTGTGTGTGTGTGTGCCACAGAAATCAAAACCTACATCTGTCTTATTTATCATTGCAAAAATGACTTAGCATATTATCTGGAACACAGAGCTCAGCAAATATTAAGATGAATATTCAGCCCACTTGTCCTGTTTTAAATTCATCTTCACTTCCATTTCATACTCTGACATAGACCTAGCCAAGGACAGCCTTATCTGAATTGAGAACTTTTTTTGAAGGCTTTACCCAGCAATGCAAGCTTCAACAAAGAAGAACAAAATCAAACCAACCTTGGTGCTAAAAATGTGTAGCCAGATTCTTCAAAATTATCTGGCTTCAGGGTTTCTGAGTCTGTGAAGACAATGTTACAGTATTAGATGATCAATACAGAATATATCATCTAGGAGAGAGTCTATGACAGTGTGAAAACCTTAGAAAGAGTACCTAGTAAGAAAAATTAAAACTAGACTACTTACATCCTAAAGTTGAAACGAACAAACAACAACAACAACAAAAAAACTGTAAAGGTCCTCAATGCTTCCCAATATAATAATAAAATTATACTATAGATTAACTTCATTATTACAACAGATATAGCTGATAAAACATTGTCCATTTACTAGCCCTACAAATACTTGTTTAGAAAAGAGATTAATATCTACAAAACATGAGGCATTACATCTAAAATATCCATAGAAAAGAGTATACTAGAATTATAAAGAACATGATTTTAATAAACTTTTGATTGCACTTAATGAATTAATAACATTCTTTATATTAGATTGATAGAATCTTCAATGTGAATTGAGTTGCATATGAAAATACAAGTATATTTTTCCCTCATTTTTGCTGCTTATGTTTGAGTGCTCATGGAGGAAAACCCAGCAAATGAGAAGCACAGAGGATAAGATCCAATAGGAATGGAACTATCAGTGGAAATGTCAAATGTACTAAACAGAAAGAATTGAGCAACAAGAAAATACTTGCCCTTCATTTTTCCCTTTTTTGCTGTAAATCCATCAGAAAGAGAAAGCAGGGAAACAAAAAAAAAGAGGGTAAAGCAAAGGGGGGTCACAAACAATATTTTATTCAATGCCTTTCTTGAATAAAAATATTGTGCATAGATCAAAGGTTCATTTATGTACAGTTGTAGTCTGGAAAGAGAGACACATAGTTTTGAAGGCTGGGAGGTATGTCTGTCAATTTTACTAGAATACCCTCACTACTAAAGTTATTTCAAATGTCTGTTTGGCAAAGCAGCTAAGGCAGCTAAAATACTAAGGACATCAACCTATGAACTAACAGAATCACGGACCAATCACCAGAGACTCACTACTCATCCCCTCCTTTACCAAGTAAAGTATTAGCTCATGCAAAATTGCAGCTTGTTAAAGGACCATCATATCTGTTATATGAAAGTACAAATTTAAATGTATAGCTTATATTGTGATAGGTACAGTAGGTCTGCAAAACAACGACAACAAAAATCCTGACAGAAATGAAGGAAACTGAATTTACTTTAAAGTCGGATATAAAAAATATCAGATATGGATTTCTAATTTAGTCCTAACAGAAAAATTTTAGACTGTTAGTTTTAATATCCTTTTGTTCAAAGGATATGATGGTCATTTTACTTTACTAAATCTAGTTCCCCCAAAACAAAATCAGTATTAACAGCTTGAAATATGCACTAGTGTTTTAATAATTACTCCACATTCCACATGATGCTTAAAAAGAAACTAATCCACTTGAGTTACTGAGACATTAATTTGATTATGGAAAGAAGTTAATTGCCAAGCACAATATCATTCTGGCCAAATGCACAAAGGAAAAAAAGAAAAAAGAAAAAAAGGAAAGATAAGAAAAGGAAAAGCTTTACTTGCACAGTGCCATGAATAGAAACCATGTTGATAATTAGCATTTAAAACATTTCACACCAGTTAGCACACCCTTAAGATGACAGTGACAGAGGACACAGCATTGCAATGATTCTACAAGCACATAGCAAGGCAGGGAAGGGTGGTGGGGACTGCCAGTGAGACTGGAGTACCTGCTTATATTCTATCCAGATAGAATATTTCTTGTTCCTTGCATGTTTGGAATGGGTTAGAATCATTGCTGTATATTTGTTAACAGCAGCACCTACTAAAATGTGTAAGCCTTGAGTATTCTAGAATGTAGACGTATTTAAACATCTGAGACTAAGAGATAACAAAGAGACCCTCAAGTTGCTTTCACAGTACTTACATCTGGCCTGAGTTATTGTCTCTTCTATTTTGGCTTTTATATAGTAAAAACTGTAGGTTGGTAATACCAAGGCCAAACTGCAATAGAAACAAGAGAAGCATAAACACAAACAAACAAAAATGAAACATAACTTAAAAAAAAAGACACATCAAGATCATGGAAAAATCCAAAGGTCTTCCTCATAGGAAGGAAAGGACATACTACTTTGACAAGAAAATGCATTCCGCAAATAGAGTACTTAATTATGTTCTTGCCATGTAGTCATATAGCCCTCTAAAGGGTAGAGGATCAAGAAACATGGAAAATAAGCTACCTACTGCAGTCCTAAGTTATCTAAGGAAAGCTTTAGGTTCCCTACTACCTCCTGAATGTTTTACACTATTAATATTATCAAAAAAGAATATCATTAGCTATACATATATATTTAAGCAAACATGTCATACCACTTTGGATACTCTCTCATTAATATATGGTCTATATTTTTCAAAGAAAAATCATAAATGGAGAAGTATTATTGTTAGTATTTCACTGATGCATACAGACATTGGGAATGTATTCTTTTGAGGGATTAAATGCCTACTATTTTAAAACTCTGATTCTTAGTCAAGTTCCCTCGTGTCTGCTGACGGGCAAATTCAGATATTTTATAGCATTAGTGTAGGGATTATCTCCGTGTTTCATTGCCTCTTACACAATTGCGAGACTAGTTGTACAAATGATTTAGTGTGTATATCCCATACGATTAAGTAGATTTATTATATACAACAGGAAATATATCTTCAGCTCCATAGTTTACAAAGCCCATGGGGTTAATCTATCTCCAGCTAGATGTCCTAAATAGAAGAGCATTTGAGTGCAAATCTTAGAACAAACTCAGAACAGGTTAGAAAACAAAGATTTCTAAACATGCCTGTCATTATATCTAACACCTTAATAATTGGTTAAAATAAAAAGCTGCAAGGCAGATAACCTTACTTATTATGAAATGTCTAATTAATAAGACTTGTGATGTTTAGAACTGTTAAACAATCCAGTAGTCCCTGATAATCCAACTCTATGCTAACCATATGTAATATACAACATATAAAATGTAATCTTTCACAATGGCTAAAACTCAAAGGAGACACAACTAATGATCCTATATCCTCATTTACAGTTGCAAATGACCTTTCCTACCCAAAATTAGAAGAAAGCTACCGTGAAAAGAAAGCTACTGTGTGAAAAATATGACCATAGTTCTAAGATATCCAATGCAATTTCTTACAAAAAGATTCTTGACATTGCCAATTGTGTCACTGGACATTCACTTTCACGATTTCCCACAAATAGTATTGGTTTGGAAGGAAAGATGTGCATTTGTAGGCATTTTGTTGTTCTTAGACATTTTGAAAATCATTTAACTCATTGAAACCTCTGTATTCCCAGCTTCGAGGATAGAAATCTAACATAGAGTCTCATTATATGCTATATAGACATGGACAATATAAACTAAGATAGATTATACATGTTCAGATTTTCCTTTTTAGGAATATAAATGGTAAATGAAAATATAATGATAAGAAAGGCAAGGTTTACTTGTTAAAATTTAATTATGCAGAAAAGATAGCAAAATGAGTCAAGGCTTGTTACCTCCAATTCCCAAAACTTTTATAATCATTAAGTAATTCATAGACTTTCCTTATGGGAAAAGGTCAGGGAAATAAAATGTTATGTAGAGTTAATGAAAATTTCTGCATTTTTTTATCGATAACTTCAAGTGGAAGCAGAAGGAAGAATTAAAATAAGCAATGCAATCAGTCTGAAAGCAAGATGACCTTTCACAATTCACTTGCCATTTATAAAATGGAGAGCAGAATTACTGAGCATTTGAAGACTGTCTCCTACAAATTTCTCTAGGGAAATTAGGGCATTTTTATTGCTCCATCGCCATTTATTGCTAAGAGAAACTTATAGTTAAAACCGATAACATTCTATTGTGGGACTGAGACACTGTCACTATGTGGGTTACATCTCATGGATCACACACACAAAGAAGTGTGGAAGCCCATGAGGAATACAATAGAAGCATTAAGACTGGGATATCAAAATCACATTGTACTGGCCTATCTGACTGATGTTATTCATTGCCACAACCATTCAAAAGAAAAACAGCTATACTTATTTTTCAACTAAAGCCTACAGTTGTTTCTTTCATATATTACCAAGTAGGACACAGTCCCAGCATTTTCTCATATGAAATATTGTCTTTTCTTTCCATATAAAATTAATATATGAAGACTGATTTATTTCCTATTAGAGGTAAGTGTAATAAAGTGGATGGTTGAATGGTTGAGCCCATACAAGGTTTCTGTGACTCACATAAGTATAGTCAATTAGGTTAAATGGACATAGTCTAATTTTCAACTCCATTATTTATTTCCATCAAAGTAAGCTCTTCATTAAAAGAGAGAAAATATTCAATCAAATGATTTGTTATGGTATTTAAAAATACAGTACCCAAGATTGATCAAAGTTTTAGATGACAGAAACCAGCTGTCTGAAATTTGATATCACCTTCAGTCCAAATGTATTTTTTTCTTGAGGTTAAATATTAAATTTTGTTCCAATTACTATTTGCGAATTTATTTGTGAAGAGATTCAAGGAAATAATTATAATGGGACTAGAACTAGAGTAAGGATTTTAAAGCTAGAAACTTGGGAAGGGAAGGTGTGAGGAAAATTCATGATGTGAGAAAGGTGAATCTCTTCAGAAAACAGACAGGCGAGGCTAGGAATGTGTGATGTACATACCAGCTTTGGAAGTACTAATTTAATGTCTGCTAATAAGAAGCAATATTAAACTTGAAAAACCACAACAATCTTGGCAACATTATGGATATCATTTTGTGCATAAGATAAAGAGTTTGATAATGTAAATTGTAAGACAATAAAAACACAATAAAATATAATGGAGTAGTTTAAACAGCTCCCAGACTGCCTTATGATGTCAAAAGAATCACCTCACACCTTCCTCATTTTCAAGGTCAAATAATGAAGTGCTTCTAATGCAGATTTTATTTATCTAAGCAACTAAGGCAAGTGCACATTTCCACATTGTGCACAATACTTTTTCTTTGAATTATCAAAACTTTAAAGGCCAAAGGTTTTCAGACTTTCTCTTTTTTCATATGTCATGACAGGTGTATCCAAAAACTGAAAGGTGACAATAATAAAAAAATAAATACATAAAGGAAGGAGAATAGGACATCCACAAAGATTGCAGAAATATATAAAAATGCCTATGTAAAAGTTAGAGCTAGGAATTAATAGATGTTGAATATTTAAAATAGTCCTTCTGGCATTTCTAACTAAATCCTGGAGCTGAAGGAAGTGAAGAACTATCATGTAGAGTAGCATGATGTCAAGACTTTACCATCTCCTCTTGGAGACAAGTTCTGGCATTTCTAATTAAATCCTGGACCTGAAGGAAGTGAAGAACTATTATGTAGAATAGCATGATGTCAAGACTTTACCATCTCCTCTTGGAGACAAGTCCTGTGGTAACAACAAAGTGCAGGTGTCCCCAACTTTCTAGTCTCCCCCTCTCCCACACCACCACTAAGTTATATGTGTGCAATAGAGTCAGGAGGAAGGAGCAAAAGAAAAAGAACCTATCCATTTCAATAATAGTCATCACATGTAAGCCTAAAACATCTCGGTTCATTGTTGCTGCCAAAGTTTTGGACATCATTGTATAATTTGACAAGATCAAGAAGATCAGAAACTCATTCAATATAAAAATTCTCAAATTCTTCAAATTAAACACTTTCAATTCTATATAATTTTATATTGATCCTATTATATGTTAGAAGTTAGTAATTTGTAGAAGCTGGTAATGAAGACATGAATGAAGCAGGGAACATCCCCTGCTCTATTAATAATTGCTAGTAAAAAAAAAAGGTAAATAATAGAAATAAATCTCTAAATAGGTGAAGTGTGTTGTGGATAAGGTAAAATGACAAATCGTGGTAGGTGTTATAGAAAATACAAAGTAGAGGAGAGAGACAGGGAATATAGTGAGGTACTTACTACTTGAATGAAATGATTAGAAAAAGCCTTTATAAGATGACAAAAAGAAGCCAAGCACCCATGGCTCATGCCTGTAATCCTAGATAGTCAGGAGTCTGAAAGCTGAGGATCATGGTTCAAAGCCAGCCCAGGCAGGAAAGTCTGTGAGACTCTTATCTCCAATAAACCACTCACAAAACCAGAAGTGGCGCTATGGCTCAAGTGGTAGAGTGGTAGCCTTAAGCTGAAGAGCTGAAGGACGGTGCCCAGGCTCAGAGTTCAAGTCCCACGACTGACCCTTCCCCAACCCCCCCCCCCCAAAGAAAACAAAAAGCACATAAAAGCATGAAAAAGATGAGGATATGAGTATTGGAAATTCATTATAGAGAGAAATGACTTCAGGTTCAGAGATCCTGAGGCTGAATAGTAGCAGTGTTTATAAAGACTGAAAAAGAGTATGATGTGGTTAACCAGAAGGTATCCATGGAAGATTTGAGGGGTAAAAGCATGAGCAACATTGATCAATGTGAATGTAGGAGACTGCAGGGAGAGGGGGAAAGGAGGGAGGAAGAAAAGGAAGAAGAGAAGAAAGGAGAGAGAGAGAGAGGAGACAGATACAGAGACTATACAAAGACAGCTTATATTCATATGAATCTCAGGGTTTTGAAAAGTCAGAACCACAGGGAAAGCAGTGAGCTTTCTTGATAGTCAAGAAAGTAAAGGAGAAGCTCAACAAATTTGAAGAAACAACATTTTGAAAAAAGATTATTAATATAAGGGCCGTCCAGTTTTCCAAGGCCCAGCCAATGAGAGGGATCGGGACGTCACTGAACAGCTATTTTGTGTGGGTAAATAAATGAGAGCAACTATATATTTTATGTCAAATACCATGTCAAGAAAATACACTTTAACTTTATGTCAATTTGCAACTCAAATGTAATGTAAGCGAAATGAGTTAAAAGTGACTTAAGCTTAAAAATTTAGTCAGAGGAAGTAGTAAGTTCAAACTATTATAAAGATTTTACAAAATTTTATTACTTAGATAATCATTCAAAGTATGTGGATTTATGTCACATATATTTCTGTTTCTAAATTTTATATTGTTATCTTTTTTCCCATCTTTATGGCCTATAAATAACACTCCAGTAATTTTTGAACTCTTGGCCTGGATTGCCCCTGAGCTTCTTTGGTTCAAGGCTAGGGCTCTACATTTTGAGCCACAGCACCACTTCAGGTTTTTTTGGTAACTAATTTGAGATAAGAGTTTCACAGTCTGTTCTATCCAGGCTGATTTTAACCTCAACCCCCAAGCTCAGCCCCTGAGTAGCTAGGATTACAGGCATGAGTCACCAGTACCCCACTAATGTTCTCTAATGAGCATTATATTGAAAACAGGTTATGAAAATACAAAGACAACATCTAACCATTAAAAATTGTCTACTGAGGTTAAGAAGCCAATAAGCTCGTTAATATCATTAATTACCTGTAGTCTGTGCCATTGACTGGTGTCCATGTGTATGTCCTGTTTCCTTTGTCAATGTATCTCTAGAAAAAAATAGTTTGGCATAGTTATTATCACCTTTGCATGTATTCATATTTATCTGCATAATTTTCTATGAAGAGTAGAGCTATTTTATAACAGATTATTATTAACAATTTTGTTTCTGGTACAGGGGTTTGAACTCAGGGCCCTACACCTTGGCATTTTTTTCTCATGTTGGTGCTCTACCACTTAAGCCACACCTCTAGTCTGTAATAACATCTTATAAATCTTGTGATCCATCACCACTTATACACTACTTATACACAAATAAATGATATATTCTACATACTTATTGTGTTACATATGTGTATAAAATAAAATTGTAGAACACACTAAGTACATAAATGATGACACTTTCACCCATATTTTCATTTTAGTAGCATGACTTAGTTGTACAGAGGAGTTTCGTTTTGTTACATCCATATATGCATACAATGCTCCTTAAACAGACTTGTCCCTCCATCATTCTCCTCTCTTCTGTAAGCAGTTTCAACAAGCTTCATCGTTCTATTTTCACAGGTGTGCCTAAAATATTTTGGCTATAATTATCTCCCTTCTCCTTCTCCATTTGTCTCCTCTTTCTACGAATATTCTGCACTCTGACAAGACCTGTTTTATATATGAATCATTCATGTTTTTTTTAGTACACACTAATTGTTCAAAGAAATTTTGATCTAGTTTTCACAAATACATATATAATGTTTGTGAAAGATACAGAACTCATCAGGATAAAATGTTAATATTCATTCCAAAAGCTTGAAAGCAACATTTCCTGAAAACATTAATAATGAAATAAGACTATAAAATATGAGACAAGGCTCAAATATTTCCATATTTGCATATATGTAAGAGCAAATGATAATAGCAGCAGAAAGTGAATTCAGTCAGCTTCTCTATATTCAAATATGATTGGCATATTACTGTTAAACCACTATTGACATTCTGATGACAATTATAAGAAGCTAGTTAGTGTCACTGACGGTTAGACAAACATTAGATCTCCTAGGAAAAAGAAGCCCAGAGTTAAAGAACTTCATGAATATAGAATCTTTCTTCTATTTGATAGCAAATAAGATTTTTTTACGTTATTCATATTATCACCCTCACCACTATAACATCTACAGAAGTGTTATTCAGAATTAGTCACTTTGTTCAGTACCTTACTGTTATGTCATATTTATTACAACATCTAGAGTAGATATTATTTCACATAACTTGCTGACAAATAAGCCTTAAAGTAGAGGTAAGGTACTTAAATTTGCAAGGTAAAGAAAAACATAGCAAATACACAGAATTTGTTGTTGTTTTGCTTTGGCTTTATCATTTTTATTTGTTGTTGTTGTTTGGACAATGCTGAGGATCAAGTTTTGGGGTTCACAAACACTGGGCAATTACTCTGTTAATAATCCACAATCCAGTTCATTAAATCCATTTTTATGACATAATTTTGCTCCTGTTCAACAAACACCTGTATGGCCATGTATGTGATTGTTTGCATGCATTTGTGTAAGTGTGTGTTTCTGTGTTGAATTGAAAGGATATAGGCAAATTGATTAAGAGGTTTATGATCTAATAAACAATAAAATTTAAAAGACAATGTTTGTATATTTACTACTAGTCATAATAAAACATGACAAACTAGTGTTGTCCAACAGGTTAAAAATATTAAATTTAAGAAATAAAATATTAAATAATTTTCTCAATATTGTAACAGAAATCATAATCTTTTTTCTGTTTGAGTCATAATAAAGCAAATAAATAAAATAATTTTAAACATATTTTATACTTAGTTTCTTAAATCCAGAAATTTATTTTTCCATTCTTAGTAAATTTGACAAGATGGCTTTCTGAGGAAATTTTAAATCACAAGCAACTCTAGTGCTTTTTGTTTTTTTTTTTTGGTGCCAGTCTTGGGGCTTGAACTCAGGGCCTGGATGAGGTCCCTAAGTATTTTTGGTTCAAGGCTAGCACTCTATTGCTTAAGCCACAGATTCATTTCCATCTTTTTTTTGGGTGGGGGTAGTTTATTGGAGACAAGAGTTTTGGGCTGGGAAGGTGGCTCTGGGGCTGGGAAGGTGGCTCAGTGGTAGAGCGCTTGCCTTGAATGCATGAGGCCCTGGGTTCGGTTCCTCAGCACCACATAAGCAGAAAAAAAAAGCCAGAAGTGGCACTGTGGCTCAAGTGGTAAAGCGCTAGCCTCGTGCTGAAGAGCTGAGGGACAGCGCCCAGGCCCAGAGTTTAGGCCCCAGGACCGGAAACACCTCCCCCCCTGCCCAATAAAAAAAGTTTCATGTACTTTCCTGCTTGCATTGGCTTCAAACTGTGATTCTTAGATCTCAGCCTCCTCAGTTGTTAAGATTACTGTCATGAGCTAACATTGTGAGGTAGAGGTGATATTTTAATAAAATAATTATGTACATGTTTTTGTTTTCTGGAAATAGCAGAGGTTATGTTTCCTAGGCCCATCTTAGAGAATGATCTTCTGAAGTGTTAGAGAGGAAAATATGTCTAAAAAAGTAAAGGATGTTGTCGGGCATTTGTGTCTCACATCTATAATTCTAGCTGCTTGGGAGGCTGGCAATGGGAGGAATGTAGTTTGAGGCCAGTCTAGGCTAGAAAGTTCATCAGACTCCTTCTCAATGTGTAGTTGGGCTCAGGGGCAAGCACTTGTCTTCCCAGGATGCATGGAATGCTGAGACTGTGTGGATAAAGACTGCAGGCTAGCCCAGGCAGAAAGATCAAAAAACTCCATCTCTGCAGAGGGAGGTAGTATACATCTGTAATTCTACTGATGAATCAAAACCTAAAAGTAGGCAGATCATGGCTCAAGTGCATGCTGATGAAAAGCAATTCCTACCTCAAAATAATCAATTAAAACACACACACACACACACACACACACACACACACACACACACAGTGGCTCAAGTAGTACAGTTTCAGCTTAAGTAAACACAATACCCTGAGTTCAAATTATTTTACTGCCCTCCACCAAAGAAAAAGATTTTAAGACAAAATATATGAATTATGCATAAAAACTTGAACTTTCAGGCACAAAAGTTTGTGAGTTTTCTAGAGTTTGGGACTATTTTAAATAAGCAAATATCTGTTTTGTTTCTCTATATGACTGAAGATGGACAGGTATTCTGCTCATTTATAAGTATCTCTGGAGTATTGAGCCATGGAAGTTTATTATAGACCTCAGTGGTTATTCAGAGTATGGTTTGGCTGTTCATGAATTTCAGATTTACTAGTAGAAAAATAAGGTACATTGCCGGATGCTGGTGGCTCATGCCTGTAATCCTAGCTAATTAGAAGGCTGAGATCTGAGGATTGTGATTCAAAACCAGCCCAGCAGGAAAGTCCCTGAGACTCTAATCTCCAATTAGCCACCAGAAAACTGGAAGTGATGCTGTGGTTCAAGTGGTAGGGCGCTAGCCTTGAGCTGAAGAGTTGAGAGACAGCACCCAGGCCCAGAGTTAAAGCATCACAACCAACAAAAAGTAAAGAAAATAAAAGAAAAATAAGGCACATAAACAGTAAAAAGAGATAAATCAAGCCAGAAAAATTAAAACAAATGCTAAAATGTGGACTATAATAATTAGAATATCTACACATGTGATTCAGCATACTACAGCTACTAAATGTAACCTTAAAATTTTCATTATTCGATTTGTAACCCAGTCTCTTTTGCATGCTAGACAAGGCACATTTCACTAAGCCACATTCTCAACCCAATGTCTTATAGTCATAAGACATATGGTTTGTAGTCATAAACTATCTATCTAGGCATAAAACACAGCTTTCGGATATGGTTTTTTAAAGAGCACATTGCTAATGCTATAGGAATACATTGAAATGCCTAAACAACTTTATTTCAAAAATGTAAATAGTTAAAAATATCTTGGCCCCATATTGGTGGCTTATGGGAATAATTCTAACTACTCAGGAGGCTATGATGCAGAGGATCAAGGTTCAAAGCCAGCCCCAAAAGAAAAGTCCTTGAAACTTCATCTCCCAAATAAGAAGAAGCAGAGCTGGAAGGCATGGCTCAATTATTAAAAAGTCAGCCAAAGTAGCGTCTGACCCAGAGTTAGAGCACAATACCAGAAAAAAAAATCCAAATGAAATCCTCCAGTTAAAGAAGTACCTTGAGAAATAAGGGAATTGTGTTATTAAAGACATCCCTATTTATAAGAAAAGGCTAGAGTAATAGAAAGTTAGAGTACCAACATCAACCATTTTTTATACATGATTACAAGAATAAGCCTGAATTAATTCTTACCTCATCTTGAGATTTAACCAGAGTTCTGAAGGTTTTTTCTCCACTCTCCCCATCTATCATCTTATTTCGAATCTAAAGGAGAATGAGTAATTAGTTTAATTCACTAATTTGAAACATTACTATCAAAAGAGTAATCACTTGTCATTTGGCTGGCAATATTTAAGTGAAAGTAGCCACAAAATAGTAACCCCCCTTCTACAGCCAATCAAAATCCAGAAAAATATTCACTGAATTAGAAATAATATGTATTCACAAAACTAACAATATGACATAGCTCATATGTCTATTTCACTCAAATAACCAAGTTCATATGAGAAAGTGTAATTACTTCTCATTATTTTTACTTATTATAACTAGTACCCCCTAAAAGTATAGGAGACAGAATTTTGAAGACCTATGAAGATTTAATTGATTACAATTTAATTTAATTAGGGCTGTCTCCCAAAACCTTAAAAATGATCAAGTCACATACAGTCACAGAATTTCCCAGTCCTACTGGGAAATTCTCAGAATTTCCTTTAACTGCTTTTTCATTTGGTATAACATGAATGTTTCATATTAGAGGTTTGGAGTATACATAAGTGAAAAAAATGGTGTGATGAAAGACATCATTTACATTTGAAGACTATTTGATGAATCTACCTTGGTTAAAATATTTCGCATCTGAAAGTGAAGAGCAGATAATAAAAATTCCTCGTGTAAGTTGAATGTCCATTCTGAGTTGCTCAAAAACAATAGAATTTTTTTACAAACCAGGCCCTTTTCTAAATTCTTAATGTTATTTTATTCAGTCAATATGTTGCTTGAGAGTTGAAAAATGAGACTAGAGGTGCTATTTGGATTATGATGAAGACTCAATGGTAGTAAAAGGCAAGACACCAATCTCTTCACCATGGGACTTTATCTCACATCATTTATACCAAATATTTTACAACAAATATTCTTTGATCAACTAAAACACTCCAGCATTCTGCTGATAAAAAATTAACTCATCTGGCTGTATGATGAAGTAAATGTGTAAATCAAGTATAAATGTAAATATGCTGTAATGAGTTATAATAAAAAAAATATGGAGCTGAGTGCCTGTGGCTTATGTAAATAATCCTAGCAACTCAGGAGAATAAGATCTGAGGGCAGTAGCTAGAAGCCAGCCTGAGCAGTAAAGTGCCTGGGAGTCTTATCTCGAATAACCACCCAAAGTTGGAACTGTGGCTCCTAGGGTACTAGCCTTAAGCAACCTAAGGAACGGTACCTAGGCCCTGAGTTCAAGACTAATAGTGGCACAGAAGAAGAGAAAGCAAAGAAATAGAAATAGGGTAATCTACAAAGGTAAAAGGAACAAATAATCCAGCAGATCAATACTAAAAGTCTGTGATCTAGAAAGGAAAGGCCTGGCTCTGCTGCTTACTCTCTGAGTAGGTATAGATTATTTATCCTCTTTGTGTTTCAAACATGGCCTTTGAACAACCAACATAATAATAATAATGATAATAACATTTCATAGGCCCTTGACATCCATTTAATAAGTTATCTTTATTATTAAAATAATTATTTTTATGATAACTAAAGGTCCTTAGAGGAAATGACATGTAACTATGTCTTCAAAATACAGTAGACATTTGCCTTCAAAGTGTCCTCAGGCATTGCAGCTTCTTTCCCAGTTTACTCTCCTGTCACTTGATGGGATGGTTAGATCCCCTCAAACTCCTCTCAAATTCACAGCAGCATTAAGCTCTACTTTTTTTACTAAAATGTATTTTTTTGCATTGAAAGAGTTACGTTCTATCTAAAAAAGTTAATTTTTATCTTTAAGTAGTTGTCTACAAAGGTTTCAATTCAACATTTCAGTTTGTGAGTACAAACAAGCATTACCACTTCCAGCATTTTCTTACATTTCTCCCAACCTAATTGCCCCTCAAGTGACCTTGTTCCATATTCACGTATGTGCATGGAATATTATGACTGCATTTGCCTACCCTGCCTCTCTCCATTCATTTCTCTTTCCTCTTCACCTCATCTACCCTTGACAAAACATGTTAAATGAGAAGGAAAAAAAAACAACTAAGGCCATACTCAAATATTTTTTTCTTCTCATGGGAATAATTTTGGGGATGAGGACAGTGGTGAAGGATTTCCATGCTCTAGCTATGATCAGGAACTTGTAAATGGAAGACTCCAGTGTCATACTTGAGGTCGTATTTCATCCTGAATGCACTCACCTCAACTTTAATATCATTTTCTAACTCTGCATCAAGGAAATCCAGTGTGACTGGCTCCTGAGATTTGGGGTTCTACAGAGAAGACAATAATACTTAAGTAAATATAATATTATAAATTATGTTACCGACAGAGTAATTCAATGAATAATTAAATACAAAATTAATTCTGTTAAAATACTTACCTAAAAGACATTAATAATTGTATGAACTTTTCTTCTTTCATATGTATATGTATATAAAGTAGCCAAAGATAGAAGTTAGTTTTAAGTGCAGCAGACAAACTGCTAAACATTATCAACTGAAATCTGCTATTTCAACTGAAGCCCAACTAGAAATAAATTCTAGGCTCACTGAGCATATTTTCTACTTTAACATCTACCACCTTTTCCTGGTATATCAATGTTCACTGTGGAAAAAATCAGATTACACACTTGTATAATTGCATCAAATAATACTGCAACCTTGATTCATTTATCTAATATGATATTATCATTTTTAAAATACAAAAATGAGATTATTTGACTATTTAATATGCAAACTGTATGAATCCTCATTCCAATACTTGTTATATAACATGGTGTACTAGAATTTCCAAAGTACTCTAAATAACAAAACTTTAATAGATGCATACAATTTTATAATTTCAAATTTTAGAAACTAAATTACAATAACTATTTTCCATATAATTAACAATAACTATTTTCCATATAGTTAACTATTTATAGTCAACTATAAGCCAGCAACAAATGTAGACCTCAAATAGTATAAAGATACTTGAAATTTTAAGTTTCAGATTTGAAATTTGCTTTAAACACAATTCTAGTATGATAGGCCTCCCAAACAATATCAATAGGTTAAAAATATACTTAAACAAAGGATATCCAATTTAGATATGGAATGACAGAGTACATGAGATAAGATTGTTTCTTCATGATGACAAAATAATTCCTTTAAGAAGTAATTCCAACCAAACAATCAATGTTTGATCTTATGGTTTTTGATATTTAAAAATTTTGCAAAGTAAAAGTATAATCGTTGGTGTCTTTTGTAATATAAGAAATATTGACTGCTTAGACTAATTCTATTAATAATCAGTGGGTTGTGGAAGACAAAAAAAATACATATTTGATTTTTTTTCCAAAGGTGAAAATAGTAAACATTGTTTGGATGGCTTGTTTTTGTTTTAAAGCAAATATTCACTTGAAATGTAGCAGAAAACACTAATACTGAAAGTACCTCAATTTGTTTATGAAATTAAATCCCACAATCTTAAATTCTTTTTAACCTTTGGTTATAAAAGTAAATTTACAAAGTCCCTAACAATGGAGATTCTCAATCTAATGTTTTAGAGACATCTCTTTCGTGCCCTGTGAAATAACCATATTCACACAAATGTCATAGCTTTGGAATCAAAATTTCAATAAACTCAATGCAAAACAAAGTAAACATAATGCAAATGATGAAATGAAAACAGAATCTGAATGTTTATCTTACATGCAATGGGTAATGCATAGCACAGGCAGACCCACACAGCATGCAGGAAGGAGGCATAATCAGGAGTTGAAAATATGCAGGTCATGTCCCAGTCCAACATAGAAAGACACAGAGAGAAATCAAATCATGAAAGAAAAAGATCAAGGCATACTTGTGTTTGGACATGGCAATCTGGCAACCACTTACTTTTCTTAAGACTCATCATAGGCATTGGAAATGGAAAATTCAGAAGGACTATCTTCTACTATGAAGACATCAAGACATATTGAAGAAAGGACCCTTTTAGGTCCTTTGGTCCCTTTATGACCAATATGTTATGTATTTAAAATATGTAATATTTCTCATTTGTGAAATTGGAATAATGACTACACCACTTGTGGATATGAAATAAAAGGTAGGATGCAACAACAAAAATAGGAACTCGAAATAATTAGTAATCAATATTCCTACAATATTATAACACTTAACTATTTCTCTCATCAAGAATTATTATTTTTTTTAATTTTTTTTTTATCTTTCAGGGGGCTTGAACTCAGGGCCTGGGTGCTGTATCTGAGCTTTCTCACTCAAGGCTAGCACTCTAACACTTTGAGCCACAGCACTACTTCCAATTTTATGGTGGTTAATTGGAGATAAGTCTTACCCACTTTCCAGCCTGGGCTGGCTTCAACCTGTATTTTTCAGATCTTACCATCCTGAGTAACCAGGCCTGAGCTACAGGTACCCTGCCAATGAGAACTCTTACATGGTTGCTAGTTTCCCATTAGGCTTTTCTTTGCATACAAAGAAAAATAATACAAACCATCATCTGGTTTGTTTATTTTTTAACTTTTACTATAATAGTTACATGCAGAAGTTGCTACAGAAACAAAAAAAACTGCTAAAATGTACATCACTGAAAAAAAGTATAACTTAGGATACTATATAAAAGGAAACATGCAAGGAGTATAAATAAACAGGACTTCAAGGAAGGTGTACATGTACTTTAATCTCTGTGAATAGTAAAACAATTTGAGGACTTTTGTATAGTATCAGATGAGATTCAGCTAAAAGGGAACTAAATCTTTGGTTAGCCCAACATTCCTGAACTTCAGAACAACTTGAGGGCTTTAAAACTACTTCGAGGCAAGTTAAGACAACTCCCAGGAGTTGGGACCTGCCATTAATGCACTTATTTAATTCTGTAGGTAGAATACAGAACAATTATTAGATCAATGCTCTCTTTTTTAGGTTAATGACACTCAAGTCCTCCAGATACTGTTGAAGGATACAGACCAGACATGACAAAAGTAGAACCAAATTAGGTATCAGTTCTACCAACTCAAATTCTCTTTAGGAAATGGGGGCTCACATAGAAAATCTACAAGATCAAACTTCTGTTGAAATTCTCTCATTACACTATAAAAATATTCTTTCAGATAATTACTTATATGTAGATATACAGATAGATATTATCCTTTAGTTGTACAAAGAAGTTGTCATTCAACACAGCAATTTATGAGTACAGCATATCTTGCTCACTTTTAATCTGTCTACAGAAATATGTATACTTTTTTGTTGCTCATAGAGATAATATGACTTTGCAATAAGTCTGTGAAGCAATAAAAACTCACACTATTTATTTGCCATTAGGAGTATTTTTAATTAGCTAAAGGGAACTTTCTCTGACTTCTATTGAAAATAATTTTAAGAAACATCTTAAAGTCACTACATAGGAGTTGCATTTTATTCACACTTAAAAATCAGTTTTAAAAGCAAATTCTGAAGATCGCCTCAGATTAATATTAATCTCCCAATATCTGATAACAAAATTTCTTGGAAGCCATCCCATTATGATTGCTGATTATTCTAATTAAACCATTTGCTTAGCAATTTTTAGTTAGCCAGTGCATCCGCTCTACCATAATAAAGAATAGTTATTGACAAATGCGGCCCAAGTCCATCTCATGCTCTGGAAGCTTGATGTCAGGAAAGGCCACTTCCATCATAAGCTTGAAGAGCAGAAGCTCGATCTCAACTCTGATTTAGCAAATTGGAAAGCACCACTAAGACTACCTACAACACAGTTACCTGAACATTGGGTCTTCTCTTTCGTAAATTAATTGTTGGTTTGCCTACACCAATAGGCTGAAGCAACAGAAAAACGGTAATGCATCATCCTATATAGCAATATAAATAAGAGCTCTAACTTGAAATCAAGCTAAGTCAGATATTTCCCTAGTCAGAGACAGGACTGTGAACATAATCTGAATTGAAAGTATTTGACATGTACCATGTGATGAGTCAATAAAAAAGGAGAAGGCTGAAAACCAGTTTTTACTGATTAAAGACTGCTATTTTAGTAAAAATCAGTTTGAAGCTAATGGGCTTATTTTTAATATTTTCTTGGTTTAGATAAAAGGGTATAATTTAAAATACACTAGATAGCCAAGCCCCGGTGGCTCACGCCTGTACTCCTAGCTACTCAGGAGGCTGAGATCTGAGGATCACGGTTCAAAGCCAGCCTAAGCAAAGAAAGTCCAGGAGACTCTTATCTCCAATAAACCACTAGAAAACCGGAAGTGGCGCTGTGGCTCAAGCAGTAGAGCTCTCTCTGAAGAGCTGAGGGATTGTGCCCAAGCCCAAAGTTCAAGCCCCACGACCGACCAAATAAAACCAAAACCCAAAAAACAAAAAAAACTACTAGATAGGCATCCCATAATGGTATTGCAAAAATCTTCAACTGTTTTAAGATTTAAAAACTTAAAATTTTATCAATGGCAAAACTTATAGGGATGAGTGTATTAAGAATGATTTAACATGACATAAAAAGGAGCTATGATAGTTTAATAATATAAAAGAATCTATGATTCTTTCATAAATAATCAGCAGTATCTTTGCTTAATATTTGCTTTGCATCATGATAGATTTTGCATGAAAACAGTTTCAAAATGAGAATTAAAATCATTATGATGTGTAATACTATTTAAAAGCCAAAATAATTTAATTTATTATATCTAGTGTTTTTTACTTAATATCAATGACTATTATTGATTTAAAACATATCTAAGAGCTTCATATATATGTGTCTATGTGAACACTTGTGTTTCTAATATGTCACTAAAAATGAATATCTATACCTAGGTAAAAGGATATAGTTTCCATAAACCTTCAGAGTTATGTTCAAAGTTAAACAATATCTTAAAGATACAAAATTGCAATTGTGTAAGATTTTTCTCTAATTTTACTTGTAAATAAATATTTTGAATTTAACACCTCTTTTACGAATTACAAAAGTTGAATGGAGTTAAATGAAATATTTTAAAAATGTAGTTTTTATCTTGGTTAAAAAGTTATCAAAGTTAAAAATAAAATAGTTGATTTAAAATATTTTATGATCTAAAAATATTTTCTGTTTCTGAAGGATTGTATCCATTTTCGTTTTTTTTATTTACTATCTTTACAAACTTGCCCAAAAGTGAAAACGAATTGTCTGGGAAGTGGAGAGCAGAAGTAACTACCAGAAGAGAAGACAATGGAAAACATGGCATGGACAGAAATGTAAATTACACTTGTCAAGATCACACCATGCCTGGAACAATCTTTCCTTATAGCCTGAATTAAAGTCATAATTGAGATGTATTAAAATAAGGCCTAAGCAATGACAATGGCTGACTTTGACAGAACAGTATCAGGTGCTTTTTAAAGCTCTTAAAAACATTAATTGTTAATGTTCTGAAACAGTAATCACTCTAAACAAAATATACACATACCTTTGGCTGAAGATTTGGATGTAGTAAAACATAACCATTAGGATCAATTGCAAAATAATAACCATTGGGGCACAGCTGAAAAATAGCAGGATAGGTTAGAAATGTCTGCATCTCAATCTAAACTCTAATTTATTTATTAAGTGCCGATTGAATAGTATACTAAAGAATCACACAGTATCTCTACATCTTATTTTAAAGATGCTTTTTAACATTTAGTTCCTTTGTTAAGCTGGCTGTATATAATTTTTGAGAAGTATGTAAGTGCTTTATGGACAAACTAAATTAGTACATAGTTCTGAGATAGGAAAGGTTAAAAAAAGAATGAATTTCTTCTTACTGTGAAGCGTGGAGTAAGCCTTTTAATGTCTTCCAGAGACACATCAACTCCCATCACACCAAGAATCAGCTGGTTCTATAACAAGACGGAATAAAATGAGTGAGCTTTATACTCGATATTTATATATTTCTACACAAGCACTATACCTCCTTATCTACTTGCTGTGATAATTAATTCTATATTAGCTTAAAGGTACATAATTGTGTGTTTGTGTTTGTGTGTGCATGCACATGCATGCACGTTTGTGTGTTTCAACTCAGCATATTGCACCTGCTAGGTGGACACCCTATTTCATTCTTCATAACCTAACTCTACTGGTTATGGAGAATGTAATAGAATAAATGCTATAGGATGAATTACTTTGGGTTTCAAATTGCATGAATTTTCATACTTTTTGAATGTTAACAAAATCCTATTACCTAACTTAAGTGAAATCTTGATTTTAGACTAAGTCTAAAATATGGAAGACATACAAAATTTTACTTGACTTCTGGTATTCTTTTTTCTTGATGTTTCCTTATATAGTCAGCAGATGAAAAACATTTGTGTGTATCTATGTGTTTGTGTGTGTGTGTGTATGGGTGTATGCTGACTTTGTTGTATATTACAAGTGTCACATCAATGTCCAGCTTAACGATGGGCCATATAGTAAAAGTAAATAATGGATTTTGAGGAAGGTATTACCTCTGTTTATCATTTTTCAAGTATTTGATATTATTCTTAATAAAATCCTCAATACATTTTTGCTAATTCCTGTTAATAGCTTGTAATCATATCTAAATAACAAGCATTATGGTTTTAGTTTCAAGCCGAGGATGCCATGTGGTGAATTATTATCATCATCACCCACAAGAAACAGAGATGGACAGTGTGCAGAAAATGTGTCTTAAAGGTAGCTACAGCCGGGCGCTGGTGGCTCACGCCTGTAATCCTAGCTACTCAGGAGGCTGAGATCTGAGCATCGCGGTTCAAAGCCAGCCCGGGCAGGAAAGACCGTGAGACTCCTATCTCCAATAAACCACCAGAAAACCGGAAGTGGCGCTGTAGCTCATGGTAGAGCGCTGGCCTTGAGCTGAAGAGCTGAGGGACAGCGCCCAGGCCCAGAGTTCAAGCCCCACGACCGACACAAAAAAAAATAATTAAAAAAAAAAAAAAGGTAGCTACAAAAATTACAAAATAATTAGTGCAAACAAGTTTCCGAAGAAAATTATAAAATCTAGTTAGGAGTCACAAAATATTCCTATCTGTGAGGGACTAAAGCCAGGTACTGGTTGCTGAAGCCTTTAATCCTAGCTACTCAGGAAACTGAGATCTCAGGATCTCAGTTTGAAGCCAGCTGGGGTAATAAAGCCTATGAGACTCTTATCTCCAGTTAATGTATCAAAAATCCAGAAGTGGAGCTTCAAGTGCTAGCCTTGAGCAATAAAGTTCCTGGACAGAGCCCAGGCCCTGAGTTCAAGCTCTAGTACCAGCATTAGAATCAATCAGTCATTAATCAATCAATCAATAATAAATAGTAAATAATAACAGTTATAACAACAAAATGTTCTTTTCCAGGGAACTAATCTTAGGCAAAGTAAACTAGCCAAATTAAAGCAATCATGTAGACAAGACAGAGTATAAGTTTAAAACACATGAGTTCAGAGAATTATTCCATTATAATGGAATATTTAAGTATATTTAAGAGATATTTAAGTATGATAATGATGCCCAGAGAGATAACTAATGTTTCAAAGGGCTAAAAATTAAAATAAGGTGTTCAACCTAACGAACTGTGCTTAAGTCCAACCAGCTTATTAAATCTTAAACTGGAAAGAAATATCCTACCAGTATCAGTAGTTTCACATGAAATATAAAATAAGCATAGTATTAAAAATAATCTTAACTCCTGAAGTCTTCATATTGCATCATGCAAATCCATCTTTAAATTAAAAGTCTTTGACAAAGTACATGATGTTCTAATCATCACCCACAACTTCTCAGCAGGCAGAATCTATTGCACTGATCATACTCAAGTACAACTGAAAGTAAGCATTTTTACAAAATGCATAAAGTCATTTTCCTGTATCTGAGAAAAATGGAAGGAAGGACTCTAAATCCAATCCTTAAGTTAGGACTGAAAAATAACTACTTTGAAATTGGAAGAATAAAGACTTAATACACGTATGTATACTTGATACACACATAACCATGATTTGAGTTTAGATGTCTTATTCTGAAATGCACAAAAAACTCAAACATATTTGTAAATGCTCAAATGCGCATAAACATTTTCCATTCCTCATATAATGACTCCCAGTGTACAGCTTCATGTTCTCATCAGGTCAGAGTTAGGTTGAATCTTGACTTTAGGCAACAGAGAGTTTGACCTGTACTTCCTTTTTCCCAGGTGGTTATCACACAGCTGCTGTAGTCACTGACCTCAGTATTCACAAGAGAATCTCACTGTACGTATTCCCTTATCCCAATATCTTATCCACACGGAGCTTTAACGTCACACTGCACCATTTATTATTAAGAACTTTATCAATTAACTTTTAACCTTTAAGTTTGTCTTATTTTCAAACTGGCCAGTTATGTTGAAGACCGGAAGAGTTCCAGTAATGACAAGTCCCAGTTCCTAAAAATAGATGGAGAGAAAAGGCAAATGAACGCAATGATTTAAACTTTGTCTTACTAAATTAGACTTTGATATCTGAGACTTTATTTTATAATTCCTTTACAAAGAGCCACTAAAGTAAGCAACTACTCTTGCAAAGTTAAAAAGCGGGGGTCGGGGGAGGGAGCTGTTCAGGCAACCGCTGAAGCTTGTAACATCTAATCGTTGAGATGAGTACTGTAATAATGTTAGTCCAAAAATAAAAATAAAAAAATCAAGCAACTTAAATTAATGATCCAACTTAAAGGAATGATACTTCACAATTCTTCCCATTCCTATTGTTTTGAATAACTGAACATCAAGTATCAGGAGTCTCCATTAGAACATCAAGTATCAGGAGTCTCCATTAAATCAAAAGATTATTTTGAATTATTTACTTAAAATAATTTCTGTAGTTTTCATTAATTTTTTATGCCAAAGCCCTTACCCTATATAAGAAATAGTAGCTGAATGGCACGATAGAGTAAACATTCTGCTGATATGGAACTTCCTACATATTCTATTCTAAATAATAACATGCTGACCAAAAGAAGCAATATTACTCCTAAACACCCTTCAAAAAAAAACAATATGGAATGACAAAAGCAAACAGTAAACCAGGAAACACAAAAATTCTATGTCAGGAAGCAATCATTTGGTTTGGCAAAAATAGTGCCATCCCATTAATCAAAATGTAGAGAATTTAACGTATTAATAAATCCATGAAGATCAGCTCCAGATTCTTTTTTTTTAATTACTCACATTTGAAGGTGTGTGTGTTTGAGTGTGTATGTGTGTGTGTGTGTGTGTCTGTGTCTGTGTGTGTGTGTGTCTGTGTGTGTTATGGATTATAAAGTATGCTCATGTGTTTAGGGGGGGGCCTAGATTCTGTTACTGTTTTGGGAGGTCTTGAAAACTTTGAGAAGTGGGGTCTATCTGAAAGAAAAGGTCAGAAAACATAGGTGACCAACAGGTGAGAAAACAAAACAAGATTTCTGACTACTGGAATTTGGTATTTTTTTCTGGAATTCAAAACTTTTTCATCTTTTTTCTGTTTATGTTTTTTGTTTCTCCTAAATTTTATGTTGTTTTTTTCTAAATTTTATTATAAAGGTAATATACAGAGAGATTACAGTTACATAATTCCGGTAATAAGTACATTTCTGTTTGAATGTCACACTCTCCCTCATTTTTGCACCCAATTTTCCCACTCCTGACCCCCCACTCACCAAACTGTATATTTCATTTCAACATAATGTCTAGTGAGTATCACTGCTGAATTGGTTCATCCTTTGTCCTACCATTTCTCTGATTCCCCTTCCTCTCTCCAAATCAGATAGACTTATATATAAGACAAAGGGTACAGAAAGGAAAAACAGTGACAATAGGAAATAAACCAAAGGGGTGGAGAGAAGAACTGCAGACTGTACAATAAAACACCTCTTGTTTCCATTTCAAGTTCATTTCAATAAAGATTATTTTATATAATCATATGCATATAGCTTTTGAGTCCCTGTGATATTCTCATAAGAATATCCTCCTTCGTTCTCACTTTGTGAATGCTTAAGGTATTAATTAATCATGCCCAAGTGTAATTATTTCTCTTTTACTACCCATTGGGTTTACTTGTAGATTTATGGGTGAATTTTAATTATTACAAATGAAGGAAACCATGGAGCCTATGTTTCTTTGGTCATGTCTTTTTAAATATTGTTACCTTATGTCCCAAATAAAACAATCCTTCTATAATAGTGTATTACTCTTCTTGCTGTCCTTATTATGTCCAATAATCTCCAAAGTTGTCCATAATATTATCTATTTTTTGCTTTTTTTGTTTTTGTTTTTAATATAGCCAGTCCTTCCAAACTTCATATCCTCTCGTTGTTGCGTGGTTTCATTCTTTTCTACCCATTAGCAAGACCCGACTTATACTCAGGCTCATCTAAAAGGTCACCAATTTTAAGTATGCTCCCTCGTAGCAGCAAATTTATGATTTCTTTCCTTTGAAATGTCAGAGGTCTCCTATATTACCATTATTACATTTGGTCTTGATATTTTACAACTTTTCCTTCTTCATGAAACTAAGTATTTGACCAGTATATATTTTGAATCTTCAGCATTTAGTGTCTGTATTTATTTATATACAAACAAATGGCCCCAGAAATGCATGATAGATTACTTATTCTTAAGCCATTACAGAAAAAAAAAAGTTCTCCACTGATGTCCCAGGGTTTCTTTTCTTTTACATTTACTTTCATCTTTCAAAACAGCATTTTAGAATCAACATTTATTCTAATGTCATGTATACTATCAGTAAGAATATTACCAGCAATGCAGACTTTCTGGTTAATGAACTTCTGGTCATAGGAAATACAGCAGCATAATTATTGGCCCCTCCTATCACATACTGTCCTGTAATGGAGTTAGAAAAGCAAAATACTTTGGCTCTAACTTTAGATGACCATGTGACCTTCAGTAAATAAGCGATGTCAAGAAGGAACATTGGACAGTAATGTTAGCTAGAACTTGAAGTAAGCAAACTTCATTTTATCTTCCTTAACATGCAAAGCTGCTGCTAATCATGCCGATTTTTCTTCTGACTTCCTGTATTTGTTTATTCTGCAAGACGCAAATGATAACTAGTTTTAAATGGATAGTGTTCTGCCCTTTCGGTTCATCATTGCATTTAGGAAAGTAAGAACATACTATAATTGGATTCCAAGTAGGGAAAAGGGCATTCCTGAATCAGCATCTACTTTTCACAAGTCTCTCCAATATGTTATTTCAGTAAATTAGCAATGCCTGCAATATTAAGCTTTGAATAAACTGAAGGTCTTATGATTATTTGTAACTATCATGTTAGCAAAGTAAAAATAACACAAAATTTTTCATTTTTAGTCCTACTGATAATTTAGGCTAGTTATTTTTGCTGTCTTGATGCACTACAGATAGTATTTGTCACTCACTTCCCCAAGATATAAGAAATCAAAAATGTCTGTAGACATTTCAAAGTGACTTATGAAGGCAAAACCATCCACAGTGAAGAACTAATGTTTCAACATAAGATGAAATACTTAGAACATAAGATGGAATACTTCTAAATGGTAACTATGCCATGGACACTTCAACACATGTATTTTATTTCCTAGAAAACTTGATCACCCCTGGGTGTTATTTGTTTTAAAGAAATGTCTCTACTTGAACTTTAAGAAAGAAATTGCATACAAAGAGGATAATAAGTTTGTGATGGTTTCAGTGTAGGATAAGAGTATGGTCTGTCTAAGTGAATGTAGTTCTGAGGTTTGGTGAGTTTGGCTACAGTCTTGGAGATTTAATATCTTTCTACCAGCTGACATCTAATTTAAGGATATTTTTATTCAAAATCTGAAGAAATTAATTTTCCATTCATATGACATTCATCAATTTTTATACTAAACATTCAAAATCTTATGAAAATACCCATAACTCCAACATTCTAGGTTAGTAATTTTATACCCTTGGCAGACCAACTAGAACGTAATACTCTACATATGTGGTTCTCCATTACATCCAAATGTACAAATGAAGGATTTTATTTGTACTATCTAGAGCTTAGCCAAGGCATTTGAGATAAAAGGAGGTTTATAAAAGACTTAATGAAGAGGAAGGAAGAAATGTCACCTAGGAAGAACAAAAATCAGCTGAATGCTTTTATTATGATAATTTGGTTGAAAATTCTACCCTCTTACCAGTGCATCTAAGTACACGTTTGTCCACTGGACTTGCTTAGCTTTGTCTCCTGCTAAGACCATTGGTCTTCCCAGAACGTCCAGATATTCCTGTTTATATAAAATAAAGTGTGGATGAAAATTAGGAATGCTATCTTTAGGAAAACTCAATCTATATAGGGTAAGGAGAATCTGCTGCTGAAAGTACATATGGACTCCATTTCTTCAGACAGAGGTATACATATTTAATGTCCATCAGTGACACTCCACATTGCCCAGCTAACCTAATCTCTGTTACGTGTTTTGAATCAGCCATATTTACCTTATTTGTACAATATATTTCCCCAGTATTTTTTCTAGTAACTCTCAGACACTGTTTCTCAAGGTACAGCAAATGATAAGTGAAATACGTTCCTTGTGAGTTGTTTCATGTTGATCTAAACTATTTAAGGCTCTATGATTCACTGAGTGGAATTGTACAAATTTGAAGTAATAGAGCAGTCACATACTTGCTTTCATATCATAGATTGTTTGGCTGACATTCAAAAATACATTTAAGCATATCAAAAAATAAATGATACTGTGGCAAATGTAGACATGAGACTCACATGCAGTTGCTGTTTCGTTTCAACATTCAATGTGTTCAGTATTCACTTCTGCAAAGGCTAAATTTTTACTTAGTCTGTTTTGCAGATTTTCATTTGTGTTTAAAATTGAGTAATTATTTTGAATAATAATGTCTGAACATTTAAAAAGAACATTTAAGGTGGGTGCAGAGGCTCACACCAGTAATCCTAGCCACTAAGATGCTTGATAATCAGGGTTGGAAGCCAACCAGGGCAGAAAAGTCCCCAGAAGACTCTTATCTCCAATTATCCACTCAAAATCCAGTGGAGCTGTGGCTTGAAGTGGTAGAGCACTAGTCTTGAGCAAAGAGTTCAGGGACAGTGCTCGGGCCCTGAATTCAATCACTAGGACCAATAAATAAATAAATAGAGAAGTAAAAATAAAATAAACCAAAAAACAAAGAACAAGAACATTTAACTTAGTTGCTTAATTTTACTAAAAGACAAGTTTTGGGGTTGGGGTAAAAGATTGCTCTCTATATCTTTATCTTGAACAGGAAAATAGATAGGCAGAAGCTATTTGGGAGGTATGAAAGTTCCATCTAGTGCTTGTATATTTTTAAAACCCCAAATAATTGTTTAGTATTCTATGTGTCTTAGAAACTTATGTATATGCTTTGTAATAAGATCACTTCAAATTTAATGCAATACAACTATGAGAAAAATCTGATTTTATTCATTTGAGATGTTTTCGGTATACAAGAATAACATCATATTCCTTTTTAGGTTAAATTTGATATGAGTTTTAAATGTTTGACAATAGTTGAAACTTTCATGCAATAAAGACCAAGATTTCTGTGACACTCAGTATTTTAATACGAATACCATACTATTGATATTTGTTACTTTTATTTTTATCTATTCTCCCCATACTGAATATATATAAGCCAGAAAATATTCTTAAATTTCAAAGGAATAGTTCACACAAATTTTAAATAGCCATACCTGAGTATTAATCCTTATAGCTCCAATGGAGGGGATTTCATAATAATAACCTGAAACATACATATTTATACATGAATAAGTAAAGTAATAAAGTGCCACAAAATTAGGTGGTGTCTTTGTTAGACTAAAAAAAGATATTTTTTCTTTTAAAACTGAGAAAACACTTAAATACAAATGATATATCAGAAAATGTTTAATGGATTTTCACAATAAATGTATAGACTGTGAAAAATTTTATTAAGTTTATTCGATATTTTGAAGCAATTTTTCTTGAAGCAGCAGGAAACTTGGAATTATTAAAATATATATTTCACTGGATAAATTATTGAAGATACAGATAAATATATCATTATTATTTGTATGAAAGTTAAATGCTAAATTTGATTTTCATAATATATTCAAATTCTATTTGTTGCTATGGTATCACAGCTTGTTTTTCAAATAAAATCATTTGATTTTTTCAAATAAAATCATTTTATTTTTCCATGGGCACCAAGGAAGTATCTATTCTCTATATGAACTCTGGATTACTCAGGAAGTGCAAGACATTTTGCAAACAAATGATAATTTAGGTACTCAGAGGGGAAAAAAATCCACATATATATTGCATATAATTAAATGTCACTCACCATAATGTATCATTTTACTAATTGACAATAGTATATGAGCAGATATCTAAATATTTTACAATGCAATATTAATGTCACAATGCATTGTGTGTTTTGTTCTGAAAAAAAAAGTTAATAAACTTATCCTTCCTTCAGGTCCTATCCAAGCTTGTTACAATTTAAGATTATTTTATAAGATAATGTAGATATGACAACAATTACCAGAACACTTCTGTTTGTTTTTTTTTAGTAAGACACAAATCTGTTACCTTTATTTGCACAAGCCATCCACTGAATAGGTCCTCTGTCATAATTATGTTGACCAACTGAAAAGGTGAATACACGTACCTGCATGGATCACAAAACAGGTTGTCTTTAGAGTAAGTATAATTGGATTGAATTCAAAATAAGATAGCTAAAGCAAAGACATTTCAGAAGTAGTGGGACAAGGGTTAAATGAATGCAGCAGTGACGTTTACTAGACACCAGGTTGAAAATGAACTATAAAACTTGTTGGAGATGGGGGTCAGGAGGGGAAAAAATAAAGACGAAAAAACCTACAGATAGTTTATTATGATAAGAAAAATTGAAGCCAGTAAAAATTTAGGAAGACATCATAGGGAAAACACATAGTCTACTCTCAACATAGACCCCCCCTGACAGCGGTTGCATGTAAATAGCATAGATTGCTCTACACCACAGTCTCGTTCTCAATCTAGAATATGACTGAGGTTTCATTTGTAAGAAAAAAAAATGCATATTCCAGGCCAAATTCAATCTCACCTCTCCTATCTTCTTAAAACATGTCACCTACATGTGCAGTTAAAGCAAAAAAAAAAAAAAAAAACTCCAAAAACTTCTTTACATGATAAGTATGTGGTGAGGAGCATGAATACACAAAGCTTTAGTTGTTTTAAGCAAGTAAGCTTAGTAATGTTTTGCTATTTTCACACCATGGGAATACTTATGATACACACATTAGATTGCAATCCTAGTATGGCTGACATAAATACGTATTTTAGGCCACAAGATTTTTCCTTAGTTCACATGGGTTGAATATTTAAAGAACCTTATCTAATTATTTAATGTTTTATATTTTACACAATACTCCAGGATGCAAGGCTCAGATTTCTCAATCTATTTATTTTAATGGTTAGGGACACACAAATCATATTGTCCCTAAAAAAATGCTAGGATTTGCTTATTCACTTATAACACTTATTTAAAGCCACTATTGAGTTATTCAGGTTTGACTTAGCTAGAAAAGTACAAAGACATTTGGTTGATACACATGAATGTTTTGGGTTTATTTCCTGGTTTTTGTTTGTTTGTTGTGGGTTTTTTGTATTGGTAGTTAGAGAGTTTTAGTATTTTTTCCCCTCCCCTTCTCTCTGCTCCCTTTCCATCGCTTCTGTCCTCTCCCCTCTCTTTCTCTTCTTTTTCCTTTTCTGGTAGAACATTACTATGTACCCCTAGACCAGCCTCAAACTTGACTGAGATGTGGTTACAATCCTATATCCCCATGGCAACCCTACCCTCTTCCTCTCATTCTGTCTCTGAATTCTCCCTCAAAATGGAATGGTTGCATTTTCTCCATTTTGGTAATTAGATTATTGGGGAACTGTCTAAATATTTCACAGTCACATAGTTACATAGTTGAGCATACTTTGGAAGGGAAATATTTTTCTAAGCAGGTTGACCACCCTAACTGATAATTTAATTTAACTGCACTAATCACCACAGGACTGCAGAGCAAGTGAACTATCAGATGATCCAGAAAGCACCAGGGCCTAGGACCTTCACAGCAAGTGTCAAAAGGCATGCCAGATAGGTTGATCCTAAAGCAGAGCTGGCTCCAGTTTTTCCTGTTACTATATGAGTGTTGTAGTAAAGTATTTTCTATAAGATACTTTTCAATGTAAAGGAGCAAGTGAGCAAGACTAAGTGAATTATTGGCTCTATGTCTACACAAGGCAAGCATTCCTCATAATATAGACTACGCACTATTGTGTGATTGTTTTGACTGATCTTATCATTTCAATAGTTCAAATAAGCTAACTTAAACTAAAATTTTAAAAAAGCACAGCAATGGTACAAAGGCTCATTGCCTTAATTGTTTTAATACAGAAACTGTACCTAACTTCCTTCTGGTTGCTTCCATGAAGCCTTTACTAATCATCAAAATTTAAGAATTTGGGATCAGAACTGAGGGTACAGTGTACATTGTGTCACATTTAATTAGTTTTTAAATCATGCTGTGATTTCCCTCTTGTTACTTTTTGAACATAGATGCTTGGCTATCAAAAATCAAGCTATGTTAACAATGAATTACTTGGATATTATAAATGTTGAATTTGTACTGCTTTTCCCAATTTTTATTTGCCTTGATGCAAATTTTCTTCCAAGTAGTTACAACAATTTTAATTACAAAAACCTTTTCATTATGTTTATAAAATCTAATATGCCTAAGATATGTTAAATATCTCAGGTTTATGTGTTGTCACATAATCACATAAATGACAAGGACTACTTAGAACTTTCTAAAATTATTTTATGAATCTACACTTACTTGAGAAGAAGTTTAATATAAGTCCCTCAAAACTGAGCTTCTAATGCCTACATTGTTTATATAACACTGAAAAATGAACACAAAAATATTTCATCAGGAGGTACCTGCTTCATTTGTCTATGCTTTATATCTTTGACCTAACTACATAACAATTTTAATTAGATGTAATACACATTAGCACTATTCACTTTATAGTACTGTTGAAATTTAAGAGTCTGTATGTAGTAATGCAGATTTCATTCTCCTTTTCTTCACTGTATTACTGCCACCCTGTGGATGCCCAATGAACTCTGTCTAAAATGTCAGGTCCCCAAAGTCCATAGAAGTGATTGCTCTTCCCACTCTCTGATATTTTCTATGTCTTTAAGTTCGTGATTCTTTAACTATGATTTCAGAGAAATGGAAATTCTTGAAATACATTTCTGGAAATACCATTTCCAACTCAGAGATGCATATTTTAGTACCATTTTTATTAGTACATTATCAAATGAAAACAACATTTCAAAACAAGACTCTACTTAGAAATCATATACCTGAGGGACAATTGTTCTAAATAGTCACATAACTGAAATTCTTGGTGTGAACTCCTAAGCTTATCACCTAATCCAGACAATGTCAATTTCATGGCATTTTCAATTTTGGTGAAGGAAAACATTTTACTTGTCATATACTCTGGCCCTTTTTAGCAATGTGGTTGATTTATGTAATGAATGCACACTGAAATTTTTCTGTGTGAAACATTCTAAGGACATTCATTATTAACAATTGAGTGAACCATTATTCCTCAACTAATGTGTGTTTTTAAGTAGGGACTTATTTCAAAATGCTTGTATCTGTAAAAGTTCCATTATAAAGCCATAAGAGACACACAATCATTAATAGCATTGACAAATTTTTTCACAATGTTTGAGTGCAGGTTTTCAACACAAAGAATATGGGACAACAGTGTGGAATAAATATTGGATTTGGGTTTATTCTGTTACAAGATTTGAGAACAGAATGTGCTTAAGTAATTCTATATATTTGTTAAGTGAGTAAAAATGTCATTGTTCTCTGGTCTCCAGTTTTGCTGACATATAAATTGACCCATGAAAATACATGGAGAGAATGTAACCCAAAACAGGACTTGAAGTCACTTTGTACTTTATAATGTGACACCAATGCACTGTATTCATAACTGTATTCATAAACTGCTTCAGTGTATGGCAACTCCTTTGCATAACTAAAGATAGAAAGATTATTTTTAAAATGAAGGATATTTCATAAACTTGTACCACTTATGGGTTGTATTACTCCTAGTAAATACAGAAAAGTTTGTGAAATTCTTGAGTAATGCTTACTTGTTTCAGCATATCCAATAGAATAATAGTGATTCAGAGAGCAGATTTAATAAAAATTAGGCACGAATTAAAACCATTCTATTATTAGCTGTAAAGTTACACAATTTGCCTTCAGTTGTTTTAATATCTATTTTTCTCTTACAAGGATAGTATTATAAACATAATAATTCAGAGTTATACAAGCCTTATCCACTTTTGATTCAAGAAAACGTATTTAACAGCAAATTTTGTTCTTTAAAATATATTTTGTTCTTTATACAATTCTGATTATAAATTGATCATACAGACTGACTTCTGGTAATTTTTCTTTTGTTTTGTCTTGTTTGTAGAATCAGCTCAGCGTCTTCCAAATCCACAGGGTCAGCCTTTTAGAAACCATAGAAATGTGTTTCCCAGCAGAACACAGTTACTGGAAACTGTCACCTCTGCAATTATCAGTTATCCAGAGGTCAAGTTTAATTTATAATAGGCAAATCTCCAAAGAGTAATGGAAATGATTCAATGAAGAAAGGAAGCCAATAAAACTAAAAAAAGTAAAAAATAAAAACAAACTTCAGCTACCAAAATATATTAGAACAACTGATGCCAAGGATGGGTTTTATTCATCTTCTCTGGGTACTAAGATTTTTGGTATTAAGCCTATCAAAATACAAGTGGACTGAATGTCTTAGGAGAAAATTTTACAGCGTTTTCCATTCATCACAAACATACTTGAATGCAGAATATTTGAACAAATAAAATTTTGTTTTATTTATAGCATTATACAATAGGTGGGTATTAATGGAAGGGGGAGAGTAAATAAGGAGAGTGAAGGAGGGTGAGTTTGGTTAAAATACTTCATGTACATTTGTGAAAATGTATCAAAGAAGCATGTTGAGATTGGTTTGGGACGGGAAGAGAGGGATGGAGAGTGGTAGAATCATGGAACGTGACTCTGAGGAGCCTATATTGAATGTACTTTTACACCGGGGTCCCACTGTACAGAAAAACAATATTTTTGAGTAATCTTTCAAATGAAGTAGAAGCTATTGATTTTATATCATTTATGAATGTCTTATAGTTAACGTTAAGCATATATTTATTACCGGTTTGTTGATATGCTTTACATATGAGCAAACACTTTAAATTTATAATATTTATGGCATCCTGACTCCAAGGAGCTTATGAGAAGAAGGTAGATCCTAGGTAAAATGTCAAGAAATAATCAAAAATGATCATCTGATGGAAGGAATGAGAGGATGGAAGATGTTCTGTGTTAACAGAGAATAAAAGAGGAGATATTTGGCAAAAAGAAAAACCTGAGAAAGGCTCAGCAGGACACACCCCTCTGAGGAACTCTATGCAATCTTTAATCAGAGAAGGCGCCACAGAAGCAGCAGGGAAGGCAGTGTTTTATCATAATCTGACAATGCTGAGTCTAAGTAGCACAACTCTGCTTAAATAGATGCTACAATTCTCCCCTAAAATGATTTTGAGTATGCTTTCTCTACTCCTAAAGTTTCTCATATAAAGCATATCATACTTTCTCCATAATGCAGTCATTGTATTTTTCATGAGATTGTTTTTAGATGGTAGAATTTAGTACTCTGTAAATGCATGCATGATGGTAGTGTGTGTGTGTGTGTGTGTGTGTGTGTGTGTGTGTGTGTGTGTGTGTGTGTGTGTGTGTGTGTGTGTGTTTAGAAGACTACTTAGAATAGGGAACATGTTTTCAACATTAATCTTATTCAATGAGAAGTAAATGCTTTCAGAAAGGACGCGCACACACACACACACACACACACATACACACACACACACACACACACACTGAATATACCTTATAAATTTATAATCTCTCTGTAAGGAAGGGCAGTAATGAATGGCTTGCAACTATCCAGTATCTCCAGCAGAGACAAATGGTAGTTTTTAATGAATAAAGTGTTTTCTCTTATTCTAAAGCTGAAAATATTAGACACTGCTGAAAGGATAAAAATGTCTGAAAGGTCTTAGAAGCAATGTAATTGCTAAATAGTACTAAATATTTGATAAGTGAAAAGTCCCCCAATATCATGTGTTTAAGCACGCTTTGCAGAGGCCTGCCCGCTACTTTGTAGTGGGTAATCCTGGCAGAGAGATGGAAGGGCTGGCATTGATTTATTCCTGCTGTATTGTTTTTCTTGCTATCTGTTGATGTAAAAGACAATGTACACTTTAGCTACAGAAAACACAAATGACAGTCATTTGTAACCTTGTTTACATTTTATAAACCATAGAATACTTCTCGCTACTTGAGATCTGACAGGACTCTAGAGAATACTTTGTGGTTTTGCAAGGCTAATTCTTTAAAATTAGATGGATTAACATAATCCATATTGCCAAATGCTTAAAACATTAGTTGTGCACTCTTTATTTAAAAATTATTCCACACTTATTAAATTCTTATGTCCTTTATTTTTATGCGCTCAACACAGAGGCATTTTGAAATCTTCCTTTTAGTACTTTTGATTGTTTCCCCAATTACTTCTGAAACTTAAGCGGGGTCAGTGACTTCTTAGCAGAGGAGGCAAACTTAAATGTATACTGCTAAGTAATCTGTTCACTATCCTATAGGAAATCAAATATAGTTAACTTTTCTAGTACTGGGAATTATCTTTCAACTTTGTGTCTGGTTTTACTTTCCTTTCTTCATTTGTTTGGACCTTTTGCCGGAGTTCATTTTCATTTTGGCACCAAGTTTGAGGAGGTCTCCTACACGTGGGTGAGCCCTGGGGGAATGGCCCTGGTACAGGTGAGGATGTGAAAGTAAATGTGCTTTAATTTGGAACAGCTGTGCCGGGAGATGAACCTAGACTTGGTTTTTAAGGCCCTACCTACCTACAATCAGGTAGATGAATTGCAGAGAGCAGTACTTTCCTGAAAATAGCCCCAAAGTTTTGTTCTAATGCTCTGCCTTTCAGGCTTCAGCACATCTACCCGGCTGAGGCTGACTCGATTTTCATTGATGCAGAGGAAGAATGCATGCCAGGGAGACACATGACAGACTAGAAGTTGGAAGGAAAAGCATCGTTCACAGAGGAGCTTGGAGATTATTATTTTTAAAGTTATCAAAACTTTGACACGGGAATCTTTTTATTAATTTAACTTTACTGTTATTATAGAGGTGATATACAGTGGGGTTACATGTACATATGCTGGGCAACTCTTTGCCTTCAGTACGGTATATTACATGCCTATCTGTAGGAGGGTGGGGCGAGGGTGCAAAATCCGAGGTAAAAGGGTGGAAAAGGCAGAGTGGAGCACACTGGACATTGGTAAAAGTGAACCAGGCAACTGGTGGGTGGAGATGGGAGGGAAAGAATGATGGAGAATGAGGGAACAGATGATAGTGTATGAAAGGAAATGTACCAATCAACACATAGATTTTTCAATCCTATTTTATGATGTTAAAAATACTTACCAGGAGCTCTCCCCTCTTAATGTACTGAGTATATGATGATTATTTTTTACTGCAATTCCAGTAAAAATACACAGGTCTCTGAAGTTTACTCATTTGCTTAAGTGAGACTTTAGGCACACTGATTTGAAGGTTCCCAGAACCCCCTCCTCTGACCCCGGCAACTACTACTTCACTCTGATCTAAGAATTGGACTATTTTAGATACCTCATGAACGTGGTAATTTTTGTCTTTTTGTGAATAGAATAATTCACTTAGCAATAACAACGAGGTTCATCTATGTGGCCAGACACTGAAGAATTTAGCACTTGGCTGGGGCTAGTACTTCATTGTAAGTACCATATTTGTTGTTGTATATGTCTTTGATAGCAAATATATAAAATTACATATCTCTAATTATCTGTCGTATAGTAACTTTTCTGGAGTGTTTAGAAAATTTAAATATTACTCTAAACTTCAACAATTAAATGACACAATAAAACTTTATCCAAGGAAAGCATAAACTATTCTACATTTCCACTAACTTCTGTGATCGCTCTTTATGACCTCTTGTCATTGAGAATATATCCACAGAGTCTAATACTATCATAAGTCTAAACTATTTTATTAATGAAATATATACTATATGATATGCATTTTATATATAGTATAGTGATATATAACAAAGTATGAGTTGCAAAATATTTGAGTAACTCACACAAATATTATATTTCATAATCCATAATTCATGGTTTTTGAATTGAGACAAGTATTTTACTTAAAAAATTCACACTCACTATGATTATGTCTTTAAATCACCTAGTCTTTGAAATTAAAGTATTATAAAGTTATACTTACTTTTTTGTCTTTGTTGTACTTGGTAAATATCTCCTGGGCTCTCTCTTCCCCTCCATCAGTGAATAACATGATAATCTTATTGCAGTTGGCTCTGGAAACATTATACTGTTTAAAAAAATAGCACATTGTATATCAGTCACAGCCAAAGACAAGGAAGAGAATCAAGGAAGAACGTGTGTGGCTTTCAAGTACTGAGTGAAATGTCTTCTCGGTAGTCTAAGAAGAGCTCCCCATCAAGCCAGGCCCACCCCTCACTCCCAGGCAGCCAAACATCTGGCTATGCCGCTTCTCTCAGACCTCTGATCACAAGCCTTTCTATCTGTGACACCTTCCCTTGACACTGTGCTGTACATTGTAATCTCCCTTCCACATTGCGCTTTCCCTCATAGTATTTTTCACTATTTTGTTCCATAGTACCCTGGTAGAAGAGTGGCTAGCACAGAATAGTGTTTATTTACTCATCAGTAATTCCTAAGTACAGATTAGTAAAGTGATTTTTGAATGACTAAATGGCTGCGTGGATTTCATGCCTCTATGATTTTACGGCACAAATTAAAAAATATCATTTTAAAATGTGCATTCTTCATGTAAATTTTCAATCCCTTTCCGAATAATTCTGTCTTCCTTCTCTCCTAGGTCATTTTATTCTCTTTATCTTAGGTTTCTACAATGACAGATTCTGAAATGACAGTCCTCCGTGCACCGCTCTGCACTTCTTTTGTAAGTGGCTCAACCTGTGGGCTAAGCTCTACCCACAATCCTCTGGGAAAATGTATTGCAGAAATGAGAAAACATTTACCCAGTATGGGAGGTGAGGATCATACTTTCAACTCTACTGCTTCTGGAGACGCACAAACCCAAGTATGGCTCCCATTCTAAGTGGTTCAAAACGAAATGGGCATCTGAAGAGATGGGTGCACAGTGTGAGAAGTTCCATCACTTGAGCCCTAGGTTAGCATGCATGCTCACTGAGGACTTCTGCGCGATTCAGGTGAATCCCCATGGAGAAGGCATGCCCACTCTGGGACTTGTCTTTACATTCACTATCATAACTACCCCCTGGAACATTTTTGAACAGTTAGGAACAACAAATTTAAAGGACACGAAGTAGACATCTACAATTAAGACACTATAAGTGACTATCAGCAGGAGAGGAAATGGTGAGTGTAGAGGATGAGGGTAAATATGGTCAAAGTACTTGACATTCATATCTGAAAAGAAAACAATGGAACCTGTTTGAAATTGTTTTAAGAATCAGGGAAAAGGTAAGGAAGAGGGATAGAAGGGAAGAGATTTATGGTGTACACTATATGCATATATGAAAATGTTATAATGATCCCTCTTATACAAATAATGTATGCTATAAGAATATTAGTAAGGGCTGGGAATGTGGCTCAGTGATGGAGCGCTTGCCTAGCATACACAAAGCCTGGGTTCAATTCCTCAGCACCACATAAACAGAAAAAGCTGGAAGTGGTGCTGTGGTTCAAGTGGTTAGAGCCCTAACCTTGAGCAAAAGAATCTCAGAGAAAGTGCCCAGGCCCTGAGTTTAAGCCCAAAAACCAGCAAAAGAAAAAAAAAGAATATTAGTAAAAGATTAAAGCATTTCTAGTAACCATTTGATGGTTGCAAACATATCGTATTGATACAAAAAATTGATTTTCTACCTAGACATGATTTTTTTCATGTATTATTTAAAGTGAAAGCAAAAGCAGGCTTTAAATTATTTCTTCAAGGTATGATAGGAAGAAAGTGGGGGAAGGTATGTTCCCTGTGTATTCTTTTTTTTTTTGGTCTGGTTGTGGGGCCTGAACTCTGGGCCTGAGCACTGTGCCCCTCAGCTCTTCAGCTCAAGGCTAGTGCCCTACCACTTGAGCCACAGCACCACTTCCGGCTTTTTTCTTTTTGCTTATGTGGTGCTGAGGAATCGAACCCAGGGCCTCAGGCATGCAAGGCAAGTGCTCTACCACTGAGCCAACTTCCTAGCCCCCCTGTGTATTCTTTCTAAGTTTGAATTTCAAAATACAAAGAAGTCACAGATTTCTACCAGCTAGACACATCTGTAGCATGAATTTATCTGGAATACCGGGTGTGTGTCTGTGTGTATGTGAATGTGTGTTTGTGTGTGTGTGTTTGTGTGCATATGTTGGTTCCAGGTCTTAAACTCAGGGCCTAGGCCAAGTTCCTAGCTTCTAATTTAAGGCTGGCTCTCACCACCTGAACCACAGCTGTACTTTTGGCTGGCTTTAAATCAAGATCCTCAGATCTCCTATGCAGGTAGGATTACAAGCCTAAATCACTGGCACCTGGCTTATATCTGCTTGCTAAATCAGCACTGAACCTAACCCAGAGAACCGTCACTCACAGAATACAGAAATTAAGACACAACAAATCAATGATAAAAGAAGAAAAGACATATAGCAATGATGCTCACATTAAGAAGCTGTTCAAAGGCAAAACTAAAGCCTTTCTTATAGTCAGTGATTCCCTTGGCTGTGATGTTGTACACTGCATCCTTCAACACCTTCTTATTTCTCACATTTGCTTGGACGAGGTGTTGGAAGCAGCTCACGTCCTGAGCATTGCTGTTAAACTGCAAAAGAGAAAAAAAAGAAAGAAAAAATGTACATGAATATTAAAGCCAATTATACAATTTCCACGAAACCTGTGTTTTATACATCACAATCCCTTTGCGTTGCTTCTTCTTTTGAAAGGAAAAGTGAACATTTATGCCACACGCAAGCACTAAAGAGTCAGCAGCTGTCTCCCTCTAACCCTTCCATCCATGCTGAAATCCAGGCCATTCTCGGTCCTAGCTCCTGCTTTACTGCCTTGTAAATTGGGATTTGAGATTCACAAGGTCCCTTCTATTTCTCAAATTTGGTGAGTATATAGACAAAAATGACTGAAAGTGAAATGTATTCAGATTTCCAAAAGCATATGCCTGCACAGGAAGCAGAGGGGAAACATTTAAAATTACATGCCATCAGGAAAGGCTAGAGAGGAAGGGCATTGGATGAAAACAGCAAATGTTTAAATTTAATGGTGAAGTCTTCTTATGGAGATAAAACCAAAAAGTAATCTTATAAAATTAAGAACAACTTGTATCCTTTCAGAAATACCACCATGTGGATTAGATGGAAGAACGCAGGTGAATCTTACAGGAAAGGTGAAGGGCGGGCAGGTCACTCCCATACACATCATTGATGCACTAAGCCCAAGTACAGTTGTGGATGTGAGCAAAAAGGCTCTGAACAAGACGCTATGTAAGGATAAGAATATTAGCTCCGGGGATACCTGCTCAGAACTGAGTCCTCTGACTTGAAACTCCTTTGTACAATAAAGATAGTAAATTAATGAACAAATAATAAAGGTAAAACAAAAGAAAACTGAGCACTCTGTAAAATGCATGCATGCATTTTATTTCCGAAAGGATCTGAGCAAGATAAATACTGTGAGATAGATCTGCCATTCATTAATAAGTTTTGTAAGTTGAGAAAACTCTTCAGGCCACAGGGGCTCTAAGTATAACACACATATGAAACAGGAATAAAAACAAACAAATAAAAAACATATTTACTAGCAGACAGTTGATTGGGGAGATAAAAATGTGAAGGATACTCTGATCAATAATGTATCACGCATCCATCTGCAGTGGCTCAAACCCATAATCCCAGCTATTTGGTAGGCAGAGATCAGGGGATTAAGGTACAATGATAGAGTCTCCCATTGAAAAATTAGCCAATAACCAGAGAAAATGTTCATTCCACAATTACATTGCAAGCACTTGGCACATACAGGGTATTTTATAGTAAGTGAAAAAAAAAAAAAAACATTCTGAGGATGTGCTATTATGTTCTTTGTTCTTGTAAAATAAATATGGTACAAAATTGTGGGGTAAGGCCATTTTGATGCAAAAATATAGATTTTTAAAATCAAACATTATTGAACTTATTTATAAAAGTTAACTATAATACACAACATGTAATAAACTCTTATTAGATAATTAGCTTAAATTAATGAACAAAAATAGTAAGTTTATAAATCAAATTGTACTAACAGATGCTATGGCACATATCTACCACCAGATGGCAGTGCAGGAGAATAAAAGGAAAGTTAAACTCTTAAAAATCTTGATTATACTTAAGTTGTTATACATAGATCTCTATTAAAACAAAATTTTATAAAAATTTTTATATTTTTGATAGGACACCTGACAGTAGACATTATATTAAAAACAAAATAAGTATCCTAAGCCCCAGAGAAAGTAGCTGATAGTCTCTATCCATACAACTATGGCTATTTAGTTAGTTTCAAGAAACTAACATCACATCTGACCACCTTTATTAAAAACCATGAACTGCCTAGCAGTACTTTTAATTATATGTTTAGGACCTGTGTTAAAAAGGAAGAAAAAAGAGTACATAAATATATGAATATCTGAGTCACATTTACAAGAAATGAGATGGGAAACCAATAAATAATTCTACCACGAATGAAAAACAAACAAAATGCACTCAAGCACTTCCTTGGGGAATACAATTTTAACCTGATAGAGATCTAGTTGGTAGAACTAGAGTCTCCCATTCTGTTATTTCTGTTTTTAAAAAATCAAACTTATAAACCTATTCCTGTATTATTTGTTAATTTTTTAACTTAGCAAAAATGCATCAATCAAATACTCATAACCTCTACTAATGTTTCACGCTGTTTTGGATCTTGTTGCTGTGTTTTCAGGTTTGAATTTGGGCTTTGTGCTTACTAGACAATTCGTCTAGCCCTTGGGTCACATCCACTTGCTTAAGTTGGATGGCATATAGTTAATGTTTTTGTCTAGGCTGGGTCAGACAAACTGTGATCCTCCTAACTATGTCCTGTGTAGCTTGGATTAAACATACATACCACTGTGATTATCTTATTAGTTGAGAGTGGGTCTCCCAAATGGGTCTCCCAATCCCCATTTTCTCTGGGCTAGCTCCCAAACATTGTCCCTGTGGTCTCTTATCTTTGAAGTAGCATGAATTATAGTATTGCACCATCCTATTTTACATTTTAATCTTGGTGGAATTCATTTTCCTAAAAACGATGATATGACAAGCTGTTTTGTTCATATAGCAAATTTCTACTTTTATTAAATAGCTCGTAACCTACGGTTCTTTGTAATAACTTGGGACTGTGTATATCTTTTATAACATTAAGTCCTTTATGCCTTCAAATGTCTCATGAACATTCAACTTTTAATATTAACAATAAACATTTTAGCTAACAAGATTGAGAATCCCAGGAGAACCAAGCTACACCAGACAAGCATCAGCTAGCTCACTAACCCTTGTCTAACTTTCTGTTATTTTTGAGATGGACCCTAAAAAATGGTTTGAGGAGAAAAATAACTGCTATCGAGCTACATAGAGCAGACCATACATCCCCCATGAGTCAGAACTCAATGATCAACACTCGTGCTGAGCATATCACCAGTGCTGAGCATGGTACCACTGCTGATATATATATTTTATTCATTCCAAAAGAACAAGCCACCCCGCCGTGTCATGCTACTTTTCTACATCTGTGTTTCCACTGAAGTTTAGAAGTGTTTTGGCAGCTTAAAACTGCATTGACAAGTGGATGCGACAGGCTGTCATTTCCAAAGAACTAACCAGGGATCCCATATTTCAACATTTCTACATATGTCTGATATATTCATGTATTCCTTCTTCTAGTTTCAAGACAGGTCATAAATTCAGCAAATATTGCTAGGCCAGTTAGGACTTTTAGGAACTTTCCTGAGATGCGTCATTGTTAGTTTTGTTCCTAGTGTTTATCGAAAGAACACCAGAAGCTGTGGCTTGCGTCCAGTGGAGACACCCTGAGGATCTTCATTAATGTCACTTACTGCCATCTTCGCTCTGGATGTCAGGCCTGTTCCTAATGATAGCTTCCAGCCTGTGGTCTCCATGACCCATTGTGCAAAAGCAGAAACACAGTGATGTAGACTTTTCCACTCTTTAATTTGATTTTAAAAAAGACAGATCCAGTCTACCCATGCCTCAAATAAGCATCCCAGATACAACTGACTCTCAATTATCTCCTTAGAGCTTTAATTTCCTCCTTTCTGAAATGCTGGACTGGACTAGATCACATGGAAAGGCCTTCAATTTCCTACACCTGACAGTTTAACAATCAGAAGAAAATTACATACAGGAGGAATAATAAATCGCATATCTATCAATAAACAAAACAGAATCAGGTTGTTATGATTAAAATGTATTTGTTAGATATTATGGTTGTTAGATAAGGACAAATTCATGATTGACTATAAATGCGATCATGCATCCAACATTTTGATATTTCTCTCTTAAAACAAATATTCCATTCAACTTGACTCATAACATACTCAACATTCAGTCTGCTCACCTTTGTTAAAATGTTGAATGGGTTTCTAACAGTTACAAATATCATTCTTATGTACTGTATTTATATCTGGATATAGAAGTAATCCACAGTTGCTGAATGAATTTAGAAGGTTTTGGAGCAATTGAGATTGTGCTTTTCTTCTAGTTAAGGAACAATGTCTATTTCACTTTGTCACCCGTCTCTCCAGGACATCTGAATCCCCATAGTGCACCTGCTGATTCCCAAGGCCTTGTCCTCTCTGCTGCAGAACTCCAGAGCTACAATCACCTTAACATTACCTATACTACAAATAGTGTTTTCCTCATCGAATTTGAATGACAGCTCTTGAAGACAAACCTTAATGAAATATGCAAATGACCATACATGCTTTGATCATCACATGGAGGAGCAGCCTTGGTCAATATATTCAGCATTCCTATGATTCCTGAAACTTATTACTTAGAAATTGTTCTCTAGTTGAAAATAACTAGCTAAGCTGGGAGCTGGTGTGTCATGTCTGCAACTGCTCAGAAGGGCTGAGATGTGAAGACCTCAGTTTGCAACCAGCCCTGGCAAGAAAGTCTACAGGAATTTTATCTCCAATTAACCACTAAAAACTGCAAGTTGAGCTGCAGGTCAAGAGGTAAAGTGCCAACCTTGAGCAAAAAAGCTGAGGGACAGCAACAAGGCTCTGAGTTCAAGCACTACTCCTTACACACACACACACACACACACACACACACACACACACACACTATTTATACATGCATGCACACACACACGAACAAAAAAATGGCAAAAAGTTAGAGTGTTCTTGGCTGAGTTTCCACAGAGAATGATAAAAGCTCATGGAATGTGTTCACAAAGCAGAGACGCAGCCATATTGATGATATGATTGAATGTGTGTGTAAAAAGCTATATATATATATATACAGTTAGATGTATAGTTATATATAATTAACATCAGTAATGGGAATTTGCTAGAAAAGTTTGATATCTACATAGTACATTCTTTTCAGCACACTTATGATTGACAGGTAATATTGAGAAGGTCATAGGCAAAGGTGAGTCTCAGTGCCAGTGACAGCCTTGTCAACCCCTGCCCTACCTGCCTGGCTAGTGACAGACAAGATACCAAGAGGCAGACAATAAACTGGCAGCTTCTTTCTCTCTGTGTCTTTAGCATGTCTGTGACACGTGCTG